AAAACTTATTGCTGAAAGGAATCAACGAAAAACAAACTGGACTCGCTATCTTTAAAAGGGAACAGGGTCTGGGTTAGGTTAAGGAAGGCAAGGCCACTTACTTTAAGTCTTTTAAGCGCCCCTAGCACTCCTCCTTAGAAGTCCCTCTCATATCACAGTAAGTATAATAAAACACATCCACATCCCTCATTAAATATATACTGTATATATAACTATGGAAGAGTTAAATTTACTTGAACTATAGTTGACCAGTTGACTAATATTCCATTTTTCAATACATGTAAGTAAACATTATTTAATTTTTAATTTATAAATTTTCTTCATTGTCTTTTAGAACCAATACTTTTTTCAGGTCTTATATTGTATCATGTGTGCTGAGTCACTTCAGTCACATCCGACTCTGCAACACTATGGTCTATAGCCCACCAGGCTCCTCTGCTGTGGGATTCTCCAGGCAGGAATACTGGAATGAGTTGCCAGGCCCTCCTCCAAAATCATTTCATGGGCATTTGTAAGTTCATAGACTATACTACCTGTTAGGTCAGTGGATGTTGTCTAGAGAAAAAGAGGCTAACCCACCTTCTGTTGTCTATGTTTTTATAATCTGATTTTGTTAACATTATAAATGTTTATTTTTTAAAAAGCAACCAGAAATCTTAAAGAAATGAGATTATGGGATTTTTTTATATTTTTTTTTACACATTCACCTTGTAAAAGAAAAAGAAATGAAATAAAAAAGAAGGAAATATTATGTTAAAATTAAAGCGATCTAAAAGACGAGAGCCTTCTGAACACGTTAGCTGCTGCCCTCGCGGGGGATCCCTTATCGTGTGGGACCAGGGGAAGTACTCTGCGGGCTGCCCCATCATCCAGGGTGCTGGCATGAGGCTGCTAGAGACCCTCCCCCCAGCAACAAATTATTTTCATCCTGCAGAAAGAAGGGAGACTTCCCTTCAAAGGGGTTTTGATCTTGGTGGAAATCGTAAGAAGCGAGACTGGTAAACATTTTTGAGAAAAAAATTAGATGGAAGGTGGAAGACAGCGCCCCACAGTGTCTTGGGATCCTTGCCTTACAACACAGAGATGATCCTGAGAGCAGCAAGCTGTATCACCCCCAGGCACGGCCGGACAGGGCAGGGTGGGAGGAAGGTTTCTCTGCAGAGTACCTTCGCCTTGCTCTTTGGTCAAGGTAAAATCACTCAAGCTCATTTTAGTGTAAATCAGTGTTTTCATGGGCTTCCCCTGGTGGCTCAGACGGTAAAGAATCTGCCCACAATGCAGGAGGCCTGGGTTTGATCCCTGGGTCAGGAAGACACCCTGGAGAAGGGAATGGCCTTTCACTCCAGTATTCCTGCCTGGAAAACCCCATGGACAGAGGAGCCTGGCAGGCCACAGTCCATTGGGTCACAAAGAGTCGGACACAACTGAGTGACTAACACACGCAATGTTTTAAGAATTACGAAGCTCCTGATAAAGTGTCTGATTTACAAGGAGTTATAGAAATAGGACTAAAATGATGTTTAGTCAACTACAAATAGCATGTAAGACTTTCTTAATATAACATTGTGATGGAGCATGTGAGTGTTAGAAAGATTGGGTTCAGATCCTGCCTCTGCCACTTATTGGCTTTGGGATCTTAGGCAAGTGTTTTCACGTTGCCAGGTATCCGTTTTCTCAATCATGAAATGAGTAGAATAATATCCCTTACTTTATAATGAAAAGATGATGTGAGACAATTTACTATACTGAAAATAGGTTCCAGTGCCTGGGACATTGTGCTCAATAATGTTGCCCCAGGACAAAGGCTTTCACTTATTTCTGCTCAGTAACCTAACAAAACCCTGGGAGGCAGATGTTATCATCCTCCCTTCAGAAAAGATGCAGCAACAGAGACTCAGAAAAGTCACCAAGTCCACATGGCTGATAATTGGTGGAACCAAAATTCCTCCACAAGACTCCTGACTCCTACGTTTAGGGCATTTTCCACTAGAGTATAGATGATACCTTAAATACCAGACAGTCATTTAGCATTTGTTTCTAATGATGCAGTATCACAGCATTATTATCTTACCATCTCTGCTCTTTGCACCTTCTTTTTACCACAGTAAGTCAAAGGGTAGAGGATATTCATCTTTAGAATCATGGAATTTGGACGGGTTCACTTCTTGGGGGGATGCTTAGGGTTCATGATGTCCTGTGAAGAATTCATGAGCTATACCCTAGACTATTACTCATGCTGGTTGTTTTTCTCTGTTATTGATAGACCCAAATCAGTATCTTTGAGAATGAATTACTCTGTTAAAAGGCAACAATAACTCCATCTTATTCCTTGTTCTGGGCACTAGATGTCACACTAAGTAAAGTTTTAGAAGTTATTCTTCAAAGTAGGGTGTGGCATAGAGCCTAAACCTTTGCTATAAAAAACCATAGATTTATATTTCTAGTAGAATGTTGTAAAGACGTACTTTCACTAACAAAAGAATTCAGAAAAAAAGAATTGTTAATTAGAAAATATAATTGGAGGAACTTTTAAGTATGTGCAAATCTGTACATCGATTATACCAAAATAGAGCTCTGTGTGTATGCATGCATGTGTGCGTGTGTGTGTGTGTGTGTGTGTGTGTGTGTGTGTGGTTGAAGTAGCAGTCTATTGTCATGTACGTTCAACAAACACATTCTACTTATTATGCACATAAAATGGTGTTTCCTTGCTGAAACAAAGAGGCAGGTGGTGTATATATATCCATGATTGTTTGTGTTCTGAGATGGTGAGAAGCAGTTCTTCCCCAGGAAAAGATTCAGACATGATCCTAACCTGCAAGAGGTGGTGAAGGTGAAAGAGGAGGTAATCACAGTGAGGTTCGTAAACCATGAATGATCTCAGGGAAGGACGTGAAGTCATCCCTTTTGAATGATTTCCACAAAGAAGATGTAGCAGTTGCCTCCTAGCCTTCTGAAATTTATTTATTCCTTGATTTTAACTCCAAGAAATCTAAATAAGAATCATGGATTGAGATTTGAATGTATGTTATTTCCTTTGGAATATATATGTGTTTATATATATTATATATGTATATACACACACACACACACACACATATAGTTTTAAAGGATGTCAAGGAATATGGTCTCAGTATATAAATGTTAGATAATTATATCCTGTGGGCTTCCCAAGTGGCTCAGTGGTAAAAAAATAAATCCACCCGCCAATGCAGGAGATGTGGGTTTGATCCCTGGGTCAGGAACATCTCTTGGAGGAGATCACTCCAGTATTCTCGCCTGGAGAATCCCATGGACAGAGGAACCTAGCGGGCTACACTCCATAAGATTGCAGAGTCAGACACAACTACACAACAACAACAAAATTATATCCCATAACTTAAATGTGTTACTGAAAGTTTCCAGTAAGTTTCCATTGAAGTGCTTTAAACTAATTGAAATCAATTCAAGCCTTAGTTTTGGCAGTTATAGTGTGTCTTTTTAAAAAGTAACAATGATGAATTCAAACTGTGTCTAATGATATACACATGAATATAGTTACATATTTCTGTATGTAATTAATGTTGTAAACATTGTAAATAGTGTTTCCTAAGTTTCAGTGGTTTCTAGATAGTGTATAATAACAGGTGATTCCCACTGGATATAATTAATCCTATATCAGTTTGGTAAATTTCAGTGCTGTGATTAAGATTCCTCCAATAAATAAGGTTAAAATTGATAAAATATGATTCTTTGGGTTTGAGGTTCATCCATATCTTTCTCTCACTCAGGAGATGACAGTCAGTCATTTTAACAGTGTCCTCTATGACTAGACAGTTCTCTTTGGTTCTCAAATCATGTTGTGACTTGGGACTTTTCCCCCTATGTATTATTATTGCTGCTTCCTTGGGTTTCAACAACCTGAGGTTGCCCAGGTCCCACGGAACATTTCCCATTTTCTCCCCAGGCTCTGGGGGGAGGTGAGTGCTGTGATAATGGCAGCCCAGGCTGCTTCTCCTTTAAGAACTCAAATAGCCGCCTAAGACATCACTAGACTATCAGTTTTTTTGTTGTTGTTTGGTTTGAGAATCATGGGATCCTCTAAAGAGACAAAAATGTCCTCTAAAGAGAAAAAAAAAATAAAATGTAGATAAAACTATTTTTCTATCAAGCCAAGCATTGTGTGTGTGTGTGTGTGTGTGTGTGTGTATGTGTGCATGCATTAGTGGGAGAATAGATGGGAAGGTCAGCTCCGTATTCACTAAACAGTTATTGATTGCCCACTGTGCTGAGCTCCAGGAAATACAGGCATTGTCCCCACAAAGATGGAGTAAGATCAGTGCCCCTCATCCTGACTATTCTTGTGTTTGGACTGTTACTGCTAAAGACAAATGTCAGGGCAACTGTTGTGTGCCCTGCTGGTTTTTCCCACTGGCTTGCCTTTAGATCTTGACATATCTCCAGACCGGACTGTCACACACAGAGACTGTACTAAACAGATGACTGGCACTTTGAAAGAGCTTGTTGAGGTGCAACTGATTTCAGTTCAACAAATAGTAATTGAGCACCTGCAATGGGTTAGGCATGCCAAAAATCAAAACATAAATGATGCATACCCACCCTGAGAGACTTAGAAAAGAAGAAGGTGGGTAAGACAGGAATACCGTTCACAGATAATATCTTGGGCTGGGAACCCCAGGTTGCTCATTGGATAGTGTGATAAATAAAGGGGAAAAATAAACCCTTTACATGTGTTTATCTTATTTGCTCTTCACAACAGCATAGTGGAGAATCTGAGTCACAGAGATTGAGAACTTCTCAAGTCACCCAGCTAGGCAGACACGCTAAGCTCAGACTGGAGCCCACACCCGAGGGCTCCCAAAGTCTATGCTGTTAACTAACACATTCTCCCACAACTAGGACGTTCACCTTCCGCTTACAGGAGCTCTGGACATGAGTTATGGAATCTGCAGACCGTGGGCTTCTATTGTATCTATGAGTCATATTTTCTTTCCTGACAGGTCATGGATTGACAGCAGTCAAGGAAAAGGCAGGGGCCACCCTCCGGATTCACAGTGTGAACTCTGGCTCTTCCGAAGGGGCCCAACCTGATGATGAAAATGAAGTCTCTCAAAGTGAGTGGTGCGTTTATTTGGGTGTTTCTTGGACTTGGGCTATATTACACCATGTGTGCAAATATAGATTTCTAAGTTCATATCAGCAAAACAAACTCTAAAAGGGTGTTTTTCTCTTTAGTAGCCGATGCAGCCGCAGATCAGAGCCCCGCAGAAAGCCCACCCACTTCCCCTTCCTCGGGGTCTCGGGGCATGCTGTCAGCCATTACCAGTGCGGTTCAGAACACAGTGAGTCATTAGCTGCTTCCTCTGTTTTCCCTGAGGCCTGCCTCTGCCTTCCTTTGATATTTCTATTTACCAGTGACCTAGATTCATCAGAGAAAAGATGGCCTTGCTCAAAACTTTTGATTATGGTTTTGTTATGCTTTCTCCAACAGAGTAGGCATAACCCTGGAACCAAGATGATAAGAACAAAATGAAATATACTTTATGTTTAAAAGAAAGGAGCTGCTTAGAAGGAATATTTTTCAGTCTGATGTAACAGTGTCCTTTCCAGCAGCTGCAAGGACAGTCTCTGTTTACTTGGGAGGGAGGGCTTTTTCTTAGAGCTGGGACAATTGTTTTTCTGAAATATTCTGTGTCTCTTAACCTTCAATCTGAAAAATTATGAAGTGATTCTAAGTATGTATATACACATACCAGTAAAGAATCAGGAGCATCCCCAAGATGTTTCTAACGTGTTTCCAGATAACAAGACCAACATTCTTCCTCCGTCTCTACCTCCCAGTTCCTACTCCTCTCTTTCCTTGAATAGCAGGCTCCTTCCCTGGCACCTTCCTCTTATAGAAGCTTAAGAAGCTTGTTATTGACAAGGCACTGATGAATAATGAAAAAAAGGACACACCCCAGCTGAGATGAAGCAGCTAGCTGGTCTTCAGGATCAGAAGAAAAGGTTTACTTTCTGCTTTGTAAAATCAAACAGCTAGTTTTTCATAAAATATGGCTCATTTCCAATTTATTCATTCATTTTCTTTTTTTAAAAAGGTAGTTATCTCCCATTATATACCAAGAGCCATACTAGATGCTGGACATACGCTGACAGACAAGAGGGCATAATAACATCCTGGAAGATGAAGGCAACTCAACAGTTATCAGATGCAAAGGCATATGAGATGAGGGGGCTATGGACACATATATGGAGGCATCTTACTCAGACTTCATGTCAGGGCTTGCCAGAAATAGGAAATGGCTGTTCCTCTCCTTGCTACTTGAAGTACTCTAGACTAAGCAGGGAGAAGCAGGCAGCTAATATGTTTTAGGAGTCAACTAATATGTTTCAGGGGCTTCCTGGTGGCTCAGAGGTTAAGGCGTTATCTTGGCCTCCAATGCGGGAGACCCGGGATCGATCCCTGGGTCCAGGGAAGATCCCCTGGAGAAGGAAATGGTAACCCACTCCAGTACTCTTGCCTGGAGAATCCCATGGACGGAGGAGCCTGGTGGGCTACAGTCCACAGGGCTGCGAAGGGTCGGACACGACTGAGCGACTTCACAGCAGACGTGCAGAGAGGGTTGTAGAGCTGGGAGTTGAGTGGAACGCTTTCCTTATCTCTGGTACAAGGAGTGAATTCATGGTCTCCCTGAGCTCCGATCCAGGGCCCTCTGAGTCTGTCCTCAGCTTCCCCACATTCCTTTCCGTGTGCCCTCCAACCTTCCAGGCCTCCCTTTTCCCAAGCTCCAGCACCCCACCCCCCACCAAATCTGCCAGAGTTCCTCCATCCTCTAGTTTTATTCTCCACTGAAGTAAGACTCAGGATGTCAGGAGAAAATAAATTTAAATTATGCCAAAGTGTAATTGCTATTATCTCCTAGTCTTCCCAAAATATGTGCATTTAAAAACCTGTTTTCTAGTGTGATTACTGATTGGCTCCCAAATCTGAAAACAAAGTCTAAGTGTCCAAAACAGAGATGACTAATAAAGTATATTAATCAGTGAAATAGAATATTGCTATTGAAGTGATAATTTTGAAAGATGGATGATGCATATAAACAATAACATAGTAATATTAAAATATAACTTATGAAAACTCATGTAAGGTGAGAAAACACAGATATATGCAGATTGTAATTGTAGTTGTGTAGTTGGGGTATAGACAAGGTGTTGCAAAGAAATGTACACAGTTCTATTTGTTATGTACAGTTTATCTAAGTTAATCTTGGTTGTTTTACTCTTTTTTAAAAAGGGAAACAGTGGCTGGCAAAGGAATTTGCAGAAGATAACTGCATAATAGAATAATTTCTAGAGCCAGAAGTATGTAGAAATCAACCTGTCTTATTCCATGAATATACTAATTATAGGCAGTTATCGCTAGTTTCTGAAAGTATGCAAGATCCACCGAAGCAGCCTGAGGGGCCTACACTCTAGGGCCCTAGATTAAAGAATTCCCTAAATTGGCAAGACTGTTTGACATTATTATAGACTGCTCCAAATAATTCTGTTACTTGGGTTAAAATTGTTTCAAGCAAAATCAGGAATTGGGTCATCTGTTAATTTTTTGTCTTAGAAGCATACCTATTCACACACACCAATAAAATTAATCCTTAAAATGTTTTGCTTTTCTTAAGCACCTTTTTAAAATAACATTGTATGTCCTACAAATTATGTGATATATGCTCTTCCAAGGAAAAGAAAATAGGATTAAATGGATGATAAATCTCCTGATGAGAAAAAATTGTGACTTCATATTGCTTTTAATATTTGAAAATAGTGCATTCTAGGAGGTGCTGACTGCCTCGAAACAGCAAAATGTAAAAACCTAATCTCATGCAATTACCTCACTGGCAGGGTAAAAGCGTCTTAACTGGTGGTCTTGATGCTTTGGAATTCATCGGCAAGAAAACCATGAATGTCCTTGCAGAAAGTGACCCAGGTTTTAAGCGGACCAAGACACTCATGGAGAGAACTGTTTCTTTATCTCAGGTGGGATTATGTACTTTTGTGATTTGTTCTTTCAGTCAGTACAGTAAATAAAATTGTATTTATCTTCTTTAATAGATATTTTAAAGCACATGTCCGATTCAAAGACATGAAATAGCAGGAGGTGAAAATTGAAATTTTAATATGCCACTTTCCCCAGCTACTCTTCATGGGAGACAATCATTGTTACCCATTGTTCACAGCTTCTTACAGATTCTATCAGAGACATTATATAGACAGATTTAGATATAGATACGGCCATATAGGTAAATATAGTTAAATATATATATGTATATGCACATGTATACATACAGACTTTTTCAACTAAATGCCAGCATACTAACCAACTTTTTGGTATCTTGCTTTATTAAATATCAATTATTTGGGGAATACATGTAAATCCATGGCTAATTCATTTCAATGTATGACAAAAACCACTGCAATGATGTAAAGTAATTAGCCTCCAACTAATAAAAATAAATGGAAAAAAAAAGAATGTTAATGAGAAGACAAAAAAATATCAATTATACATACTTAATAATTTCTTAAAGATAATTCCATTGATACCGTTTGTCTTAGTCCATTCAGCCGCTGTAGGAGAATACCATAGGCTGAGGGGCTTATAAACAACGAACATTTATTTCTCAAACTTCTGGAGTCTGGCAAGTTGAAGGTCAGAGCAACAGCAGATTCAGTGTCTGGTTAAGGGCCTGCTTTATGATTCAGAGGCTGATGTTCTCCCAGCTTCTTCACATGGTGGGAGAAGGTGGAGGAACTCTCTGGGTTTCTTTAATAAGGACCTGAATCCCGTTCATGAGGGGTCCACCCTTGTGATCTAATCACCTCCCGAAGGCCTCACCTCTTAATACCATCACACCAGGGATTATGTTTCAACAAAAGAATTTTGGGGAAACACAAACATTCAGTCTGCAGTACCATCATATTCTAGCTCTACCAGGTTCTAGCTCCATGACCTTGAGCTTAACCCTTGACTTAACCCTTCTAAATTACTCTTCTATACACTGGGACCATCAGTACCCACTAATAGCTTTGTTGTGAGGATTACATGAGTTAGAAGTGAACCTGACTCATAGTTCGCGCCCAAGAATGTTAGTTCTTATGATTGTTATTTTTATGTGTCAAGATGATAGGTAAAAATGCTATCTCAATGGAATCTTAGTTTATATTTCTCTTACTATGTGCAAGGTTGGACTTCTGTCACACTTCCAGCTGTAAAGTTTTCCTCCTGGAGAAGTATGATATGAAGAATTTATGTTTTGCTTTACTTACAGTAGTCAATTAAATTAAAAGTAATATTTATCTTATTTTCCAAATACAAAACTCTAACATTGAACTTGCTCCTTCATACAGCACATGCCCAGCTCAGACCCCATAGTGTCAGTCATGCCCCTATAGCTCTTCCCCCTTAAGAGTCTGACATACCAGGTCTCTCTGTGTCTTACCAGAATCAGGAGCAGCAGATGCAGGATTTTATAAATTTCACAGATAGGACAGACACGTCTTCCCATGACTCAGTGCTAGAAAGCCACAAAGGAGCTATCACTGACAACAGGTGATATCAGCTGTGGCAGCTCCTAAAAAATTTGATTTCTAGGTGACTTCTTCTTGGTTCTTCCACTGTAGGGGCTTCCCTGGTGGCTCAGGTGATAGGAAATCTGCCTGCACTGCAGGAGACCCAGGTTCAATCCCTGGATCAGGACAATCTCCTGGAGAAAGGAATGGCTACCCACTCCAGTTTTCTTGCCTGGAGAATCCCATGGACAGAGGAGCCTGGTGGGCTACAGTCCATGGGGTCACAAAGAGTCAGACATGACTGAGCAACTAACACACACTTCCATAATAACCAACATGTAACCACTCTGATATTATAGTCCTGGTAGAGACTTGGCAGAGTCAGCTAGACCATTAACCTCTTGATCCTTAAAGAAGAAAATAGATTTTGTATTAATCAGGCCATTAACATTTGATGCTGTAAAAATGCAAAATAAAACAAAACCAATAATAGTAATAATAACCCAAGTATCAATGTGGCTTAGAATAAAAAGGGTTTATCTTTCATTCCTACAGTGTGAGCATTCCTGGGCAGCCCAGAGTCAAGAAGATCCCCTGGAGAAGGAAATGGCTACCCACTCCAGTATTCTTGCCTGGAAAATTCCATGGACAGAGAGGAGCCTAGTAGACTACAGTCCATAAGGTTGCAAAGAGTCAGACACGACTGAGTGACTTTCACTTTCCCTATATGTATAAATTGTTACCCTTATATATTCAATATATATATATAGAATGTATCTATATATTAATGTATATAATGTATATTATATACACACTTGTACTTACATATAAATATGTTATATATGTATACATAAATTTATACATATATATAAATTTGATTCTAGTCAAGAAGGGGACAGTGTGGCCAAGTTCAGAAACTAATTCTGTGAATCTTTGGCCTGAGTTTACACTCCTGCAAAGTGAAGAACTGGACCTGGGCAAGTTCCCAGATTGCCATAGTTTCTGTGCCACATCACAATTTTTTGTCACGCCTGCATTCAGTCTATTGCTAAAAAAGTAAGTAGCAATGCTCATAGAAATGTGTCACCCAAGAATACACACTTGCCATCTGCATTTGTTTGTAATTACACATCTAAAAGTGAAAGTCACTCAGTCGTGTCCAACCCTTTACAACCCTTTACAACCCATGGACTATATTCTCCAGGCCAGAATACTGGAGTAGGTAGCCATTCTCTTCTCTAGGGCATCATCCCAGCCCAGGGATCAAACCCAGGTCTCCCATGTTGCAGGCAGATTCTTTACCAGCTGAGCCACCAGGGGACAGTCTGGGATACATCTCAGCATTGCACCTATGACTCACATGGCCAGGTTACACTGGATGGCCACAACATTACCCCCTTCAGCCTCCTTCCAAACAGTAATTATTCATTCATTCAATCATTCCACAACGCATTCCACAAATGCATTTTGAATGTCCACCATGTACTATACACTGTTCTAAGCATTTGAGGCCATCACTGGTTAAAATTGGAGATTTTGTTCTAGTGAGGAGGGACAAACAAACAATATACATTGTCTCATATTTTAGAAGATGATGAGTGCTGTTAAAAAAAAAAATAGACCAGAAAGAGGGTAAAGAATATTACCAGGTCAGTCGTGTCTGACTCTTTGTGACCCCATGGACTATAGCCCACCAGACTCCTCTCTCTGTCCATGGGATTTCCAGGCAAGAATACCGGAGTGGGTTTCCATTTTCTTCTCCAGGGGATCTTCCTGACCCAGGGATTGAACCCACGTCTCTTGCATCTCCTGCATTGGCAGGTGGGTTCTTTGCCACTAGCACCACCTGGGAAGCCCAGAAAGAGGGCAATCAGGAAGCAATTTCAGTGTCACTTTATTACTTTATTTCACCATAACCAAGTCAGTGAGATCAGTGAGGTTAGTTGGCTTTTATTGTGTACGTGTTAAAAATTCCCAGAGGTGGTTTTGAAAATTTTAAAATTCAAACCTTGTACTCATTCAGTCTTGAAAACAGACAGGAGGGTGACTTCTTTCCGTAGCCTCCTGGATTTTGGGCTAACAACCTCAGGAACTGAAAAGGAGAATGAGGCTGATTGTTTTATTGACCCCTAATAAAAGCCAAAATCTATTCTTTTACGATCTTCCCCTTGTGACCTTGTAGTGGCCAGTGCATTTATGGTGCTCTTCACAGATATTAAAGAACCCTATAAACAATGTCACAGTAACCTTGATGAGGAATCAAATAAAAGGTGCTTAGAATCAAAGAAAGCAAGTGCAGGAAATTATGAGTAACTGGTCAACTTGTGTTTACTGTCTTAGTATTTAATCAATAGGAACATAACTGGAGAAAAACGATCAGCCTGAAGAGGAAGTCAGTCCACAGTCATTTTTCTCAAAACCAATCTAAGAAATTATAAGCTAACATTTTATTTATATTAATATGTACATTTATATTAGGTATCTGGTGAAGAATATACTATGAGCTTATATTTTGTTATTTTTTAATTGAAGATATTTAATAACCACACACACAAGATTTTTAAATAATTCAAATAAAATCAGATAAACTTATTTTTTCTTTGAAGTCTGCCTAGGTATACAAGTTGCAATTAATCCTGTCACAATAGATTCAGCTTTCCCAGTGTACATTAAATTTGCTCATATAGAAAATCTGGACATTAAAAAAAACAAGATTAATCACACACACAGAAAACACTTCAATGGAAACCACTGTTCAGTTTTTGCTTTCCTTCTTTCCAGTTCTATTCCTGGGATTAGAATTTTTGCTTTGTTTTGTTGTGACATATGAACATGAAGAATCCAAAGTGGAATATTATGTGAAAAACTGTGGGTAAAATTAATCCAAAAAGCCATTCTGGGGGAATGTGACAGTACAGTGGTTAGGGCTCCATGCTTCCATCGCAGGGAGAATGAGTTCAGTCCCTGGTTAGGGAACTAAGATTCTGCAAGCTATGTGATGTAGTCAAAAAATAAAAAAATAAATAAAAACTCCCCTACCTTTTTTTTTAAAAAAGTCATTTTTGCAGAAATTCCAAAGTGACTGAAACCTATTCTTCACTAGTACCAAGTCAGTGTTCATCTGCCCCTACATCTTGCAGTAGATGGGGCTTGTAAGCACACATCTAGTGTACAAATGTGTGTTTGTGCAGATGTTACGGGAGGCCAAAGAGAAGGAGAAGCAGAGGCTGGCACAGCAGCTCCCCGCCGAGAGGACCGCACACTACGGGATGCTATTCGATGAGTATCAGGGTTTGTCACACCTGGAAGCCCTGGAAATTCTGTCCAATGAAAGCGAAAGCAAGGTATGTCTGTCCTGTCATGGAAGTAGCATGTTCATGAATGTGTCTTCTTAAACGTGAAAGAAAATGTGTTATTAAAATACCTCATTTTTAGAGCCTCGTTTCTGAGCTGAGGTCACAATCACTTACGGCCCGATGAACTGCTCAGGCTCTGTATTATTTCCTCTCTGTTCCTTGCCAAGCTGTTCCCCGTCACCAGTCCCAAGAGGGCCATCATGATACGAATCATCACTGCCCCCACCTCTCTGTGCAAAAGACTGTGCGAAAACCTGACCGCACCTGGCCTGTGGCTCTCTCTGGTGACGTGGTACCCAGATCAGAGGGACTGGCTACATCCTCATTTCTGCCCAGAAAACAAAGCAGCTGATGTTTCTACCAGACTGCAGGGTCTGATGCACCCAGTTTCACGGTGATACGGTTATTTACTCACTCGTTTGTTAGAATGCCTGAGCCGTGAAGGGCAGGACTGTCTTACTGGGCATTAAGGCTCTGTTTAGGGATGCTCCTGAACAGAACTCTGGGAAGTTACCTACAGCCCTGCACAATTCATACCTTCACACGGTGATCCCAGAGAAACAAAATGTGAAGAGTGGAATTCAGCAAAACTTGTGATTTCTTTTTTATTTTTAAAACAGGATTTATGTGGTATGCGTGTCCATGTCCAAATGTGTTTTTGCTTAATACTTGCATGGCATTTATATAATGACCAATCTAAGCACTTCAGAACCATTGACTCATTTAATTGTGTATATTACTCTTTTGTGTGCGCCTCAGGTTGACTGTGATCTGGGGTGTTTTTCCAGTGGAGGCCACAGGGCAGTATCCTCTGGACCTCCTGTGAGAAGCCCAGTAACATTCCCTGGGGAGAGGCAGGGCCTCAGACGGGAAATGGAACTTGGAAGGAAGTTCAAGTTCCTTCCAAGGGAAGGAAGAAGGAAAAAGTGATATTTGACTCTCTCTAGGCCTCATCTTCTTACATGTGGAATTTGGGGGTTGAGACATTCATGAAACTCACCTTATCAGGGAAAGATGACCTCTGCCATAAACAGGCAAGCAAGAACCAAATAGGAGGAACACCACCCCACCCTCCAGACACACCCAGGATTATAAAGTTACAAGTTACTATGTGTTTATTTCCTTTTGAGTTATCCATCAGCCATCACTGACAGTCTTGTGCTTAAACTGTTAACGGATAATTTTTTTTAAAGCAAAATCATGACTTATGAAGATACCTACCAATGAACACAAATTAAAGAATTTATTTAACTCATTAATTAAATGAAAGAACCAGTCAGATGTTATAACTGGCTCAAAGGAAAAGCTTTTAAGTACAAATTCATATAAAATAAAGCAATTTTAAAATGAATATGCAAATGGACCAAATCTGGTTTTCCATAGGAGGGGAGCTTGTCCCTCCACTGGACAAAATTTATTCACATGTCTACAAATTATTTTGCACTGCTATCAGGTATCTATAATTTACAAAGTTATAAAACTGCTCCCATGGAATCAGAATCTGATAATCTGGTAAACTGATCTAGAAAATGCCATTTTCCACCGAAACACCAACTTTTCCCAACAAAAGCAGGGTTTGGGGTCAGACATATGTGATCAAATACCACTTAGAGGCTGTAGTATGATTTTGGAGCTATCTTACCTCAATCTCCTTATCTATGAAATGGGAATGATAATAATCTGCTTTATAAAAGTATTAAAAAATTAAATGAGATAATCCATGTGAAGCTAGCTGCAACTTGCCTAGTACATAATAAGCAGTCAATGAATGTTAGCTGCCATTTTATGCATATATATGTATATGCATATATGATGTCAATGACATTTTATTTTTTTTTGCATTCTTACATATATATTTGTTGTTATTATTGAAAACATTATAGGGAAGCACATCCCCTCAAAATTATCATGGTAGGAAAAAGACATAAGCTGCTCCCACTGTAAGTCAGGCTATAATAGAGCCCCGGGGTCCAAACAGCCCCAAAGGACTAATGTTGCCAGGAGTGAGGTTTCAGTCCCTGGAGGGGGGCATTGCCCTCTGTTTGCAGACTGCTCCCACGTGCTTACCTCTCTTTCCCCAGCCTGGAGATTTTCATGGTTTTTCATTGTGAGAAATGCAGAGCTTTTCTTGGCTTAGTAATAATACCTGTTGTTGTTGTTTAGTTGCTGAGTCTTGCCTGCCAGTCTCCTCTGTCCATGGGCTTTCCCAGGCAAGGATACTGGAGTGGGTTGCCATTTCCTTCTCCAGGGAATCTTCCCGACCCAGGGATCAAACCTGAATCTACTCCATTGCAGGCAGATTCTTTATGGCTGAGCCGCCAGGGAAGCCCATAATAGTACTTACTGGATGTTATAATTAATCGTTCTAAAAAATGTGGGTCAAAAACTATAGAGTTCCCCGCCCTCTTGAACCTATATTGCAAAACAATTATCCTCCAATTAAATGTTTTTAAAGAAAGCTATAGGGTTTCTCCAAGGTATGAGTGTCTGGTCAGCAGGCAGCTTTCCAGCATTTAAGGACCCAGAGCCCAGGCTCTGTCCATCTTCTGGACCCACTAGTTCCATCCTAATGCTCGCAGACTTCTGGTAAGAGAGCAAATGGAGACCCTCCTGGGGCTGTCAGATTTAGCGAATAAAAATACAAGAGGACTGATTAAATTGTAACTTTAGATAAATAGTGAATGCTTCTTTAGTACAGACATGTCCTGTGTGATATATAAGATAGACACTCATACCAAGAAAACGTTCGTTGTTTATCTGGAATTCAAATAGACATCTTAGACTTCATCAGGTTACCCAACACATACCCCATATTTAAAAGTTAAAGAGCTTTCGGAAACAAACTGTTAAAGAACATATTTTCTGGGACTTCCCTGGGGGAAAGACTCCATGGTTAACTGGTTAAGACTCCATGCTTCCACTGCAGGAGGCATGGTTCAATCCCTGATTGGGGAACTAAGATCCCACATGCCACATGGCATGGCCAGAAAAAAAAAATAGACGTGGTCATCCTTCTTTGACAAATGTAATTTCATAATGGGATTTCATAATCCCATTTAGACTCTTTAGACTCCTCAAGTTTCCACATCACCCTCCCGTCTGCTCTCTTCCTTTTGTCTCCACTGTACCTGAGCTGCCTCTCACCTCAGGGAACCTCGTGAGCACGTGTGAGGATGCCCCAGTTCAAGCACCATACACAACCCCTGCAAACAGCCACCTTTGTCCACTCCTTGGGCTTAAGGGCACATCGCCTGGTAGATGGTCCCTCCATAGGGAGCACAGCCTGGAGAAGAGGTCCATACAGACTTCAGAAGGAAACCTGCAGTCACCTGGAGAGTGATCTAGACGAGAGAGCGCAGGCTCTGGGCAGGCACATCCTTTTGTCTCTGTGGCTTCCCCTATGTCCAAGTCTAATGTGTCAGATTTCATTCTTCTCTAGGAACTCACTGTCTTCTTCATCCCATCAGCATGAGGAAAGAGAATATAGAGGGGAGTCCCCAGTTTTTCAAAGTTTTAACCTGGAAATGATACACATTTTCTCTGCTAACATGTCATTGGCTAAAACTTAAACAGGGTGTACAGAATGATAAGGAATCTTTTCTACCTACAAGACGGATACTAGGATGGCAATAGGCATGGCAGTGTGGTGTACTATGAATCTTAAGGAAAAACTCATATTTTTATAGTATTTTATATACCCAATAGTTAACCAAAACAGTAAATAAGAATCCTCAAAATGACTCCCTCACACCAGACTTTCTACCCTTGTGTCCCCGACAGCCCTTAGGCATGGTGCCAAGCATTCCATGAATATTTATTGAGGAGTGCATCGTTATTTATTATTTATTATTGGATTGAAGTAAAGATTTAATGCACATCATCTTGGCATAATGGAATGAACTAGGAGGACACAAAAGAGATGCTGTGATAGAAAGATGCTGACCAAAGAGTCCTTCACTAAAAAGAACCCTTCCTGGGAGATACCCAAAGCAGAAAACCCCAGTGCATTCATTCCCGGGGGATGTCTATCCTCAGAATACATGGAGAAACCAAGAGGTCCCACATGTGCATATGCATTTCCACTAAGCCTTGGACTTTACTACCCATTTTTATTTACTCTGAGAAAAAATGCTGTTCAGAAAATGTGCCCAAAGCATAGGAATGTGGTGTGGTCATATCAAGGACTATGAGCCCTAAACAGGAGTGTGTGAGCGGAAATGGAGACCTCTGGAGAGGTCAGGGTGGAAGGGAGTGCTGACCAGCACGCATGGCGCATCGCTTTCACCTGCTGCAACCGCTGCCGGATGGGTTTTGTGCTGATGGCTTCCCGCAGGGCGTCTGCTCAGAGCCTTGGCACCAGTTACTGTGACTCCTAGCGACGTCCATCAACAACTTGTAGAAAACCGGCGTCCTAACCTCTCCAAGGACGCCCTCTCTAACTCTCTGGCTTATCTGGGCTGCAGATCTACTACCATAATCGGTGTTAAAACACAATCCAGGGCTTCATTGCTGGTCCAGTGGTTAAGAATCCACCTTGCCTGTGATGACCTAGAGTGGTGGGATGGGGTGGGAGATGGAAGGGAGGTTCGAGCGGGCCATAGGTACACCTGTGGCTGATTCATGGTGATGTGTGGCAGAAACCAACACAACAGTGTAAAGCAATTAAAAATAAATTTAAAAAAAAAAAGGATCCACCAGTTAAAAATAAATTTTAAAAAAATTTAAAATAAATTTTTTAAAAAATTAAAAAAAAAAAGAATCCACCTTGCCATACAAGAGACACTGGTTCCATCCCCGGTTGGGAAGACCCCGCATGCTGCGGGCAGCTGAGCTCATGTGCCACAATGAGCCCACGCCCCGGAACCCTCGAGCCGCAACTGATGAGCCCTTATGCAGCAGCTGCTGAAGCTCGCGCACTTCAGGGCCTGTGCTCTGCAAGAAGAGAAGCCAACACAGTGAGAGGCCCAGGCACCTCAACTGGAGAGTCGCCCCCGCCTGCTGCAACTGGAGAAAGCCCTCACACAGCACCAGCTTCCGTGGTGGCTTAGACCGTGAAGAATCCGCCTGCCATGCTGCAGTGAAGGAGACCCCGGTTCGATCCCTGGGTGGGGAAGATCCCCTGGAGGAGGGCAGGGCAGCCCACTCCAGTATTCTTGCCTGGAGAACCCCATGGACAGAGGGGCCTGGCGGGCTGCAGTCCACGGGGTCACAAAGAGTCGGACACGACTGAGCGACCAAGCACAGCATAGCACTCACGCAGCACAACCAAAAATAAAGTAAAATTTTTTTTCATTTATTTTTATTAGTTGGAGGCTAATTACTTTACATCATTGCAGTGGTTTTTGTCATACATTGAAATGAATTAGCCATGGATTTACATGTATTCCCCATCCCGGTCCCCCCTCCCACCTCCCTCTCCACTCGATCCCTCTGGGTTAAAGTAAATTTTAAAAATCCACAACCCAAAGACTATGGCAGCTTCGCTGCTGGCTCTCCTTCCAGAGAAAGTGTCAACCTACAGAATGAGAAATTTGAAACCTTCCTACTTTACAGTCAGACTTTACTTTTTGTATGGGTCTCCATTCACTGTGACCATTGTGGAATTTCACATTGGTCTTTGGATTCACAGAGGTTGCCTGGCCATCTATCCAGGTGATTCCTAAGAGTTTCTGAAGGACGGTTGCAAAAGAGGAGTTCTGAAGAACAGTGAGCAGGGAGTGTGCCAGTTCAGGCAAGACCCTCTGGGCAGCGTCCCTGCCCACCCTCGCGCTTCCCCAGAGGGCACTGCAGCCCCTCCTTGGGGGCACCCCCCCCCCTTACTGCATTCACACATGGTGTGGCTGTGGTCGGTTCGGTTCGTATGGGCCCCCCTCCTTCAGGCTGGAAGATCTCTGAGACGAAAAATATGTCTTGTTACATTTTTGTAAATCCTATACAATAAAACATCTAGCAAGTGTACTTGTATGTATATCTGTGATATACATATACCTATTTGTTTATGTATTTGTTTACATACCCATTTTATTGAATTATAGTTGCTTTACAATCTTCTGTTAGTTTCAGGAGTACAGAGTTACTCAGTTATTTTTCCGGGTTATATTCCGTTATAGGTTATAACAGGATGTTGACTACATTCCCCGTGCTACACAGTAAATCTCTGTTCTGCATCTATTTTATGTGTAGTCATTTGTATCTATTAATGCCACATTCCTAATTTGTTCCTCCCTCTCTTCTTCTCCCCTTCGGTAACCAGAAGTTTCTTTTCTGTTTTACATGTATCTTTATTTTCATTATATATATAATTTATTGACCACCACAATAAGTACTCTTGAGTACATCATTTCATTTAACCTTCAAAACAGTCTTATAAGGTTGATGCTATTAGTTCTCACTTAGAGATAAGAGGACTGAGTCATAGAAAGGTTAAGTAGTTTACCCAGAGTCACATGATTAGTAAGTATAAGAATTAGTAAGATATTAGAATCCAGGGTTGACACTGAGGTGTGTTTTTAGCCTCTTTGATGGCGCTACCACAACCATTTACTTAGCATCTGCTGTGTGTATTTGTGCAATATTCTTCACATTCATTTTTTTCCTTATCCTGCAAAGGATCACAGTGAAGTGTGGATCTCACTTTAAAACAGAAAACTTCCTTTGGGTGTATACCCAGAGGTGGAATTGCTGGATCATATTATAGATCTATTTTTAATTTTTTGAAGTGAGGTCGCTCAGTCGTGTCCGACTCTTTGCGACCCCATGGACTGTAGCCTACCAGGCTCCTCAGTCCATGGAATTTTTCAGGCAAGAGTACTGGAGTGGGTTGCCTTTTTTTTGTTGTTGTTGTTAGTTGGAGGCTAATCACGCCACAATATTGTAGTGGGTTTTGTCATACATTGACATGAATCAGCCATGGATTTACATGTGTTCCCCATCCCGATCCCCCCTCCCATCTCCCTCTCGGCCCAATCCCTCTGGGTCTTCCCAGTGCACCAGTTCCGAGCACTTGTCTCATGCATCTAACCTGGGCTGGTGATCTGTTTCACGGGTTGCCATTTTTTTGAGGAAGCAAGAAACAATACTTCCAAGAGATATCTGCCCTCCCGTGTTCACTGCAGCTTTGTTCACTATAGCCAAGACATGGAAACATCCTAAATGCCCATAAACAAATAAATGGATTAAAAAGGGTGTAATATATATACACAATGGGATATTATTCAGCCATGAGAAAGAAGAACACACTCCCAATTATGACAATATGAATGGACCTTGAGCTCCTTATGCTGAATGAGATAACTCAGAAAGAGGAAGACAGATGTTGTACGTTATTACTTGTATGTGGAATCTAAAAAGGTCAAACTCATAAAAAGCAGTAAAATGGTGGTTAGCCCAGGATAGGTGGGAGGATAAGACTGATACTGTTTAAGGGTACAAACTTGCACAAGTAGTTACTTAGCCATAGAGAACTAATGTGCAGTATTAGGAATTCAGACAGCAATTTGGTACTATAATCACCAAGCTTGGTAAAAGACTAAAATTTTAATTGTCTCAATGATGAAAAACAAAGGATAACTATGTAATGCAATAGAGGCACGAAATATAGCTACAGTGGCAATCATATTACAGTATACACATCTATCAAATTAACATGTTGTACATCTTAAATTTATCTTTGACATTTGACAATGTTATCTGTCAAATACATTCAATTAAAAAAAGAAAACTGAGGCCCAAGGAGTTTATGTAACTTACCCGAAGTTACACAATTAGGAGGCAGTAAACCAACATTCAACCCAGTGTTACCTCCCGCACCACAAATCACCTGGGAGAAGTAGGCACAACTGTATGTAAACATCATTAATGAGAAGAAAAGATGACAGTTATGCTGACCTATTTCTTTTTTTCAGGTTCAGTCATTTTTAGCATCACTTGATGTAGAGAAGCTGGAGGTCTTAAAAAATGACCTAATTTCCATTAAAGACATCTTTGCAGCCAAAGTATTCGAGAATGAAGAGAATCAAGAAGTGCAAGGTAAAGAAAAATAACCGGATAAAATAGCAAGACACTGTTGGTGTCATCCTTATGAAGCTGCTGTTAATAGGCACAGCCCTTTAGGGAGAGGCATTCATTCAGCACTCCTGCTAACTGAGCGCTCCTGCTCACTTCCCGACTCTGTGACCCTGCTCTTGTCACAAGAGCTGGTCACGCTGACCTACAGTCATCCCTTCCTCTGGGTGGGAACTCCTGAGTCAGGTGCCTTTATTTCTCTGATGTCCAGCATGTCACAAGCACACCACAAATGCATCTGGTCGAATGATCAAAGAGCGCAGTGCACTCAACAGGGCCCTGATGGCTAGAGTTTACAGTCCAATGTCTAATTTTTTATCTGCACGTGGAAGTCGTTGAATGTGGTTGGTGTTGGTGGTGGGCAGGTCTTTGAGTGGATTTCTTTTCATATTTTTCTTCTTCCTTTTAACTTCTGTGTGTAGGAGTTAGGGTGTAAGTGTAAGTGGTCTGCCCTTCCCCCTGAAAGTACAGTTCTGACAAAAGCACACGGTACACCAGGGCTTGGAGTGTCAGTCACTGCGGTGAGCCAGATGCACCCTCCCACGACACACTTCTAGCCAGATGATGACATGGCCCAAGGAGAACAGACTCTATCTTGTGAGAGGCAAGGCTTCCTTGAGAGGGGCCAAGATGTTCCCCAGGTTGGATGTGCTTAATGATTAGGTTGTCCATTTGGGAGCAGAATCTAGCAAAGCATTTGCTATGTACATGGAGAGTGATTGATGTCATCACCATGCCCTGCAACTGCCATTGTTTTGTGTAGGTTATGCTGAAAATTTAAGCAACCATGGACGCATGAGGCTGGCTTCTCCTAGGATCCTCTGAAGGGTCTTACATGCAACATTTTTACTACTTACTTGCTACTTGGCTTTGAACAAGGTATATAACCTTTCTGAAACTCAGTATTTTACCTATACAATGGAGACAGTGATACCTATTCCCAAGGGCTATTGTAAGGATCAAATTATATAATATATGTAAAAATGTATATTGCAGTGCCTGGCACATGGAACTGCTCAAAGTGTTAGCTGTTCTAATTGTCAGACGTGCTAACACAGTTCCAGGAAAATAGCAAAGATGCAGTAAGTTATAGCTTTTATTTACAATTGTACTTGTGATAATATACATTCATATCATCCAGTCTCTGGAAGCATTTTATGCCCAGACGTGATACATACCTTTAAAAAGAAAGTCGCTCAGTCTTGTCTGACTCTTTGTGACCCCATGGACTATACAGTCCATGGAATTCTCCAGGTCAGAATACTGGAGTGGGTAGCCTTTCCCTTCTCCAGGGGATCTTCCCAACCCAGGGACTGAACCCAGATCACCCACATTGCAGGCAGATTCTTTACCAGCTGAGCCACAAGGGAAGCCCAGGAATACTGGAATGGAGCCCATCCCTTCTCCAGCGGATCTTCCTGACCCAGGAATCATACCAGGGTCTCCTGCATTACAGGCGGATTCTTTACCAACTGAGCTGTGAGGGAAGCCCGATACATACCTTTAATCAAAGCTCAAACACAGGATCTCAAGTGCTTCAGCCTAGGTATTCGGGGCAGTATTATTCTAAGCATTTGCAAACTGTCGTTTAAAAAATATTTCCCCCCTTATTCCCACATACTGACCTTATATGCCTTCAGTTTAATGAGATTTATGCTCATTGAATCAAAATAGAAGAATCAATTACACTGCAGCATAGAAAAAGGTCAGTATCAAAGAGACTGTTGGAGAACGACGTTTCTGAGCATTTGCGTGTTGCTATAAAGTCACGAAGGATGACAACCTTGTCTTTGCTTTAATACTGAAGAAACTAAGACACTAGCTGTCAAAGGTCCTATGGTTTGTATTATGGACCCAAGATGAACTAATGTAGATGCCTCTTTTCCAGAGTAACAATCACCAAAAAAAAGTAGGATGTTTTTCTTCAGCTTCATGATACCTGAGGTAAACCTCTGTCCTATTGGGGGTGTCATTCAGAACAGATAAAAAGAGGATCCCTAACATCAAAGAAATATTATTGCCAGTGTAAGTTAAGGCAGCATTGCATCCCCAACAAGTACTATTTCTTGGAGAGGAAACTTGATTCACACTGTTAAATAGAAAAAGTTACTCCATGTGTTATGTTCCAGTCTTAGTACAGAGTTTCAGTAAATGGAGATTTTTTAATACGACCAAAAAGCAAATTGTAATCTTGAACAGCTTGCTTAGGAAATGGTAGATTCATCTCTCTTTAAGTGATGGAACCCTGTTACCTCCCATAATACAATGTGTTCATTTTCCTAAAGGACATCTCCAGATTATCAAAACACTACTAATTTTAATTAATTTAATAAATAGGTGTCATTTAAATGCCTAAAGAAGAACAGGATAGAAGAATAGCAGGGTTGTCATTAAATCAATCCAGTTATGATGGAGTGTTACAAACTCCAGAAAGGTGAGGGATTAACTAAAAGCTGTCGAGAACAGTCCAGGGGCCAAATTCTAGGAGAAACCAGAGCATTTTCATCATATTTTTTCTTGTAAGCACTTACATTTCTAAAATACCTCTAACACCTAAATAATTTATTTGATCGTCTCAGAAAATGTAATAAACTATCGTTTTTAGATAAATTTAATACTGGGCCCCTCTGTTTTTAATAACATTAGCTAATGATTTGCATGTTTGTCTTTCCAGCAACATGTAATTTTATTACACTGCCATGGGTCTCTAATTTGGTTTCCCACTGTTGTAAGAAGATTTCTAAAAGCTTTTTCCTCTTTTCACTGCCTTGGTGAAAATCTTCTCAGCCACATGTACAGACCAAGAATTGTAGTAATAGGTCTTCTTTGTTACAACATTCTTTATCATCTGTGTTTTTATCTACTTTCATTTCTCCCTGTGATGATTTTCCTAAAATGTTTGCTCTCAGTTATTGGTACATTTCTCTGTTTTATGAAACAAATGCACATTTAAAAACTGGAGATACACAGAGTACATATATCCTAATTTAGTGCAGATTACTTTCAAATACTTTTAATCTCCCTATGTTTATATCTTTGTAGCATATAACAATATGGTTATATAAAACTTTAGTGTTTACAAATACTTACACATTTGTTTTATTTGGTCCTTACAATGACACTAAAAAGGAGATGGGTGGGTTTTGTTATCCTAAATTTACAGAAGAGGAAGTGGAAGCTGAGAAGCCTTGTGACTGGCTCCAATCACAGAGCCAGTAACTGCAGGAGCTCGGGAACAACCCCAGCCTCAAGTCAGGCTCTTCCTGCCCTGCTGTGCTGCCCCACACAGATGAGAAGGACCCGGCAGGTGGGAAGTGAGAACCTGTGGGGCTGCCCTTCTCACTTTGCCCACTTAGAGAGGGTGAGACCAAGACCTCTGACCAGCAGAGAGAGAATCTCAGTGTTTGATGGAATCGCATTCGCTTTCTCTCTGATTCTCTCTTTGCAGGCCTCCCATTCGCCCTTTTTCTGTTTGTGACTAATGCCTTTCTCATCCTGGAAGGCTAGGTTCAAGCATCACCTCCTTCTGGAAGCTTTCTTAATACCCATGATCAAGCTTTGCAACAGCCTGCTCTATCTGAGCACTCGCCTTATGGATTTTTATGATTTGCTTGTATCACTTCACCATGAACAAAGACACACATCTCTCTACCCCAGGACACATGCCTCCCTCCGCCGGCCACAGCTACCCCAGTCCCCATCCATGTGCTCACTCCCCTCCTGCTCTGGGCTCTTACTCAAAAGTCATTTTCTCAGCTTGAGATTCTTTTTTTTTTTTTTTTTTTAATTTATTTTTTTTTTTTATCACAACCATAGTGTATCTTTTTTTTTTTTTTACATGTATTCCCCATCCCGGTCCCCCCTCCCACCTCCCTCTCCACCCAATCCCTCTGGGTCTTCCCAGTGCACCAGGCCCGAGCACTTGTCTCATGCACCCAACCTGGGCTGGTGAACTGTTTCACCCTAGATAATATACGTGTTTCGATGCTGTTCTCTTGAAACATCCCACCCTCGCCTTCTCCCAGAGTCCACAAGTCTGTTCTATACATAGGAGTCTCTTTTTCTGTTTTGCACTTAGGGTTATCGTTACCATCTTTCTAAATTCCATATATATGTGTTAGTATACTGTAATGGTCTTTATCTTTCTGGCTTACTTCGCTCTGTATAATGGGCTCCAGTTTCATCCATCTCATTAGAACTGATTCAAATGAATTCTTTTTAATGGCTGAGTAATATTCCATGGTGTATATGTACCACAGCTTCCTCATCCATTCGTCTGCTGATGGGCATCTAGGTTGCTTCCATGTCCTGGCTATTATAAACAGTGCTGCGATGAACATTGGGGTACACGTGTCTCATTCAGATCTGGTTTCCTCGGTGTGTATGCCCAGAATTGGGATTGCTGGGTCATATGGCAGTTCTATTTCCAGCTTTTTAAGAAATCTCCACACTGTTTTCCATAGTGGCTGTACTAATTTGCATTCCCACCAACAGTGTAAGAGGGTTCCCTTTTCTCCACACCCTCTCCAGCATTTATTGCTTGTAGACTTTTGGATAGCAGCCATCCTGACTGGTGTGTAATGGTACCTCAGTGTGGTTTTGATTTGCATTTCTCTGATAATGAGTGATGTTGAGCATCTTTTCATGTGTTTGTTAGCCATCTGTATGTCTTCCTTGGAGAAATGTCTGTTCAGTTCTTTGGCCCATTTTTTGATTGGGTCATTTATTTTTCTGGAGTTGAGCTGGAGGAGTTGCTTGTATATTTTTGAGATTAATCCTTTGTCTGTTGCTTCGTTTGCTATTATTTTCTCCCAATCTGAGGGCTGTCTTTTCACCTTGCTTATAGTTTCCTTTGTTGTGCAAAAGCTTTTAAGTTTCATTAGGTCCCATTTGTTTATTTTTGCTTTTATTTCTAAAATTCTGGGATGTGGGTCATAGAGGATCCTGCTGTGATTTATGTCGGAGAGTGTTTTGCCTATGTTCTCCTCTAGGAGTTTTATAGTTTCTGGTCTTACATTTAGATCTTTAATCCATCTTGAGTTTATTTTTGTGTATGGTGTTAGAAAGTGTTCTAGTTTCATTCTTTTACAGGTGGTTGACCAGTTTTCCCAGCACCACTTGTTAAAGAGGTTGTCTTTTTTCCATTGTATATCCTTGCCTCCTTTGTCAAAGATAAGGTGACCATAGGTTCGTGGATTTATCTCTGGGCTTTCTATTCTGTTCCATTGATCTATATTTCTGTCTTTGTGCCAGTACCATACTGTCTTGATGACTGTGGCTTTGTAGTATAGTCTGAAGTCAGGCAGATTGATTCCTCCAGTTCCATTCTTCTTTCTCAGGATTACTTTGGCTATTCGAGGTTTTTTGTATTTCCATACAAATTGTGAAATTATTCGTTCTAGTTCTGTGAAAAATACTGTTGGTAGTTTGATAGGGATTGCATTGAATCTGTAGATTGCTTTGGGTAGTATAGCCATTTTGACAATATTGATTCTTCCAATCCATGAACACGGTATATTTCTCCATCTGTTTGTGTCCTCTTTGATTTCTTTCATCAGTGTTTTATAGTTTTCTATGTATAGGTCTTTTGTTTCTTTAGGTAGATATACTCCTAAGTATTTTATTCTTTTTGTTGCAATGGTGAATGGTATTGTTTCCTTAATTTCTCTTTCTGTTTTCTCATTGTTAGTGTATAGGAATGCAAGAGATTTCTGTGTGTTAATTTTATATCCTGCAACTTTACTGTGTTCGTTGGTTATCTCTAGTAATTTTCTGGTAGAGTCTTTAGGGTTTTCTATGTAGAGGATCATGTCATCTGCAAACAGCGAGAGTTTCACTTCTTCTTTTCCTATCTGGATTCCTTTTACTTCTTTTTCTGCTCTGATTGCTGTGGCCAAAACTTCCAAAACTATGTTGAATAGTAGTGGTGAGAGTGGGCACCCTTGTCTTGTTCCTGATTTCAGGGGAAATGCTTTCAGTTTTTCACCATTGAGGGTGATGCTTGCTGTGGGTTTGTCATATATAGCTTTTATTATGTTGAGGTATGTTCCTTCTATTCCTGCTTTCTGGAGAGTTTTAATCATAAATGGATGTTGAATTTTATCAAAGGCTTTTTCTGCATCTATTGAGATAATCATATGGTTTTTATCTTTCAATTTGTTAATGTGGTGTATTACATTGATTGATTTGCGGATATTAAAGAATCCTTGCATTCCTGGGATAAAGCCCACTTGGTCATGGTGTATGATTTTTTTAATATGTTGTTGGATTCTGTTTGCTAGAATTTTGTTAAGGATTTTTGCATCTATGTTCATCAGTGATATTGGCCTGTAGTTTTTTTTTTTTTGTGGCATCTTTGTCTGGTTTTGGAATTAGGGTGATGGTGGCCTCATAGAATGAGTTTGGAAGTTTACCTTCTTCTGCAATTTTCTGGAAGAGTTTGAGTAAGATAGGTGTTAGCTCTTCTCTAAATTTTTGGTAGAATTCAGCTGTGAAGCCATCTGGTCCTGGGCTTTTGTTTGCTGGAAGATTTCTGATTACAGTTTCGATTTCCTTGCTTGTGATGGGTTTGTTAAGATCTTCTATTTCTTCCTGGTTCAGTTTTGGAAAGTTATACTTCTCTAAGAACTTGTCCATTTCTTCCAAGTTGTCCATTTTATTGGCATAGAGCTGCTGGTAGTAGTCTCTTATGATCCTTTGTATTTCAGTGTTGTCTGTTGTGATCTCTCCATTTTCGTTTCTAATTTTGTTAATTTGGTTCTTCTCCCTTTGTTTCTTAATGAGTCTTGCTAATGGTTTGTCAATTTTGTTTATTTTTTCAAAAAACCAGCTTTTAGCTTTGTTAATTTTTGCTATGCTCTCTTTAGTTTCTTTTGCATTTATTTCTGCCCTGATTTTTAAGATTTCTTTCCTTCTACTAACCCTGGGGTTCTTCATTTCTTCCTCCTCTAGTTGCTTTAGGTGTAGAGTTAGGTTATTTATTTGACTTTTTTCTTGTTTCTTGAGGTAGGCCTGTAATGCTATGAATCTTCCCCTTAGCACTGCCTTTACAGTGTCCCATAGGTTTTGGGTTGTTGTGTTTTCATTTTCATTCATTTCTATGCATATTTTGATTTCTTTTTTGATTTCTTCTATGATTTGTTGGTTATTCAGAAGCGTGTTGTTTAGCCTCCATATGTTTGAATTTTTAATAATTTTTTTCCTGTAATTAAGATCTAATCTTACTGCACTGTGGTCAGAAAAGATGACTGGGATGATTTCAATCTTTTTGAATTTACCAAGACTAGATTTATGGCCCAGGATGTGATCTATTCTGGAGAAGGTTCCGTGTGCACTTGAGAAAAAGGTGAAGTTGATTGTTTTGGGGTGAAACGTCCTATAGATGTCAATTAGGTCTAGCTGGTCCATTGTGTCCTTTAAAGTTTGTGCTTCCTTGTTCATTTTCTGTTTAGTTGATCTATCCATAGTTGTGAGTGGGGTATTAAAGTCTCCTACTATTATTGTGTTACTATTAATTTCCTCTTTCATACTCGTTAGCGTTTGCCTTACATATTGCGGTGCTCCTATGTTGGGTGCATATATATTTATAATTGTTATATCTTCTTCTTGGATTGATCCTTTGATCATTATGTAGTGTCCATCTTTGTCTCTTTTCACAGTCTTTATTTGAAAGTCTATTTTATCTGATATGAGTATTGTGACTCCTGCTTTCTTTTGGTCTCCGTTTGCGTGGAATATTTTTTTCCAGCCCTTCACTTTTAGTCTGTATGTGTCCCTTGCTTTGAGGTGGGTCTCTTGTAGACAGCATATATAGGGGTCTTGCTTTTTTATCCATTCTCAGCTTGAGATTCTTAACCCCCAGCTGTCCCTATCTCTCTTCCTTGGTTTCTTCTTCTCCATAAAGCTTCTTACCTGACATATATGCTTTCCATCTCTAGTATCTTTATTGACCTGCTCCCCGGTGAGAATAAGTATATAAATTCTAGGGGATGATAAACGGATTAGGCCAAATGTTTTGAACATGTATAAGTTACCCTGGCTATCATGACAAGCTGCTGATTAACCATTTGTCTCTAAAACAGAAACAAAGACAGGCGGACAAGTGTTAGCTACAGAATTTCTCACACAGCTTGGTCCTCTCTGAAGCTGCCATCTTCACCCACTAACATAAGCCAGGTATTTCCCTCTCAGTGGGTTTTGAGGTCCTGTAGTCAGGCCAGACGAATGGTGCTTTTATACAGTTCCCTCTCCTCACCCTAGACTAGTGATACAACCCACAGCGGAATCAATTCTTTTATTTACTTTTTATTAAAGTATAGCTGAATTACAGTGTTGTGTTAATTACTGCTATACATCACAGTGACTCAGTTATACATATATATACATTCTTTTTCATATTATTTTGTGTTATGGTTTATCACAGGATACTGAATGTCGTTACCTGGGCTGTACAGTAGGCCCTTGTTGTTTATCCATTCTATTAATATATGTACCAGTTTGCATCTGCTAATCCCACACTCCCACGCCTACCCTCTCCCACCCACGTCCGCCTTGGCAACCGGTCTGTTCTCTATGTCCTTGATTTTGCTTCTGTTTCACGGATAGGTTCATTTGCATCATATTTTAGATTCCATCTGTAAGTGGTATCATATGGTGTTTGTCTTTCTGACTTACTTTACTTAGTATGATAATCTCTCATTGCGTGACATCAATTATTTAGCACTTATCAGAAACTTTAAAAATGGCCTCAACTTGTAGATTCAATGAGAGATAGAAGATGGTAACTTTAAAGATCTCTCCTTTTTATTGCCCATCAATGAGATTAATTTTATTTCATGTATATGACATGTTATATAATCAATATATTAGTAAATATGCTACAACTGATTAGTAAATTATTTATTCAATAAATATTCATTGTATCACATGTTATGTTCCAGGCACTGTGTTAGAGTCTCTGGATTCAAGAATGAGCAAAACAAATACCATCTGTACCCTTAGGTAGCTTCCAATCTGGAGGGAAGACATACCATTATGAAATATTGTATGACCAGGCAGGTGTCCTAGGAAACCATGAGAAGTTTCTCCAGAGATATGTTGTTATAGGTATTAGGATAAAAGTAGATAATCCATGGAGACTAAGTCTGCTTGCTCAGCGCTGTGGCTCTGTGGACACAAAAGGGCCCCCTGGGGTATCGTTAAGGCTTGCAATGCTAAGCATAACAAGACTAGAAGCCTTAAATACAGTGTTGTCCCAGGGCTCTCAGGCCTGAGAAACGTCATTAATTTGTTCATGCAGTCATTCAACAAATAGCTGCTGAGCGTCTATACCTGTTACGGTGTACATGGTCCCTCCCTGCCCTCACATGCCCTTCAGTCCAGCCCAGGGGCGCCCCAGCTAGAGCTGCGAGCAGCAAGGCTTCACCAGCCCCTCACCCGGCTGCAGCCGGCTACCTCGCCACTCTGCTTGAAAATCCGGGCGTGGCTCGTCTTTGCCCGGCAGCTGGAGGGCGGGCTGCTGCCACCCCACTTACACTCTGACTGCAGGCTGTAAGGTTGGGGGAGCTGCCACATTGTGCAGGATGAAAAATAAATCATGCTTCTTACTTCTGTCATTTTCTATTTCCAGGCATAGAAGAAAAGGAAGAAGAGTTTGCTAGCATGCTTACAGAGCTTCTCTTTGAATTACATGTTGCAGCCACACCTGACAAACTCAATAAGGTCAGCCCCATCTGAGTCTGTCTGGGTGTTTGTTTGTTTTTTAAAAAAGGTCTTGGTTGTAAAATTCCAGAGATTCACCTGAAATAGAAAAACCCCCAAGCCCCAAATGGCACGTGGGGGGAGAGGTGTCCCAGGCCAGTAATTAAGATTTGATGAGGCAACATCATGAAATGTAACTGTTGAGAACATGCTAGGCTGTGTAATGAGACCTGCATTTTAGTTGCAGCTTCACTGGTATGATCTTGAGCAAGTCACTTCTCCACAAAATAGGATTTTATTCAAAGCAGGGTTATCTTCAGCCTACAGGAGGAAAGAGGCTGAATTATCAAAGGGCTTCTGCAAATTCCATTTCCTGTCGCCTCGAAAATGACATGCCAGAATCAGGCAGAGAAAACTCACCAGCAAGAGCCAGGTCACCCCCACGACCCTTCCCACTGGATAGCTGGTGCCTCGTCCTGTCTGAGATCTAAGGCCATCTGGGCTTTCATGGCCTGGGCTCCTCTGATAGTAACACAGGATGTTTTGCAAGTTTGTACAATGTCTTGCTATAGCATTTCTTAATGAGGTCACTGAGCATTAATTACTTAAAACAGTGTCATTTTCCCTCTTCTCTCTTTCTTTTTCTTCTTTTTAACTATCAGTGATTGACACAGGTCCTCACTCATCAAGGTGAGTGAGCAAAGGGCAGACTGAGGCAGTGAGGTGCAGAGATGAGTAATTCTTTAGCTCTGATAGAGGTCACCACTTCTGGCAGGTCAGTGACTTGAACACAGTGGGGAAATTGCCTCATTCATCTCCATGCAGTGGCTGCCACTGCTCAGACAGTGTGTGTGGCACCTCCAAGGTCTCACTGGTTTACTTACATAGTCAGGTAAACCTTTGTCCCTAAAAGAGGACTCACCAGGGATAGTTTTGTTGGATTTTGTCTCCCCTAATCTTCTCCCTGTTAACTTTTCATCAACACCCTGTGTTAAACTTTGACGTGCAAGCTTTCAGATGAGAAGTCAGTTTCACACAAGCTCAGATAAAACTTAAGCAAACAGCTTAAACTGCAGTGCAAAAGCTAGTGAGTCTGCCCTTTCAAAATCCAGGGAATAATACATAGGAAAGGTGGTTTCTGCTTGGTCAATAACTTTAAAGGCCACGTGTTGCTCAAGTTGCACTCAGGTGAAATGAAGTTAATCATAGTTCTCTCCTCCCCCATCACCACCCTGAGGTCAGAAGACCTGGCATGGCTGGAGAGGAGCAGAGCCATCCTTCATCTTCCCAGTGTGATACATTATTAGGTTCGTGAAACACTGAGGGCTTCATGAAACGTGGCAGAAGAAGAAATTTGCTTTAGCAATGACCCTGGCTAAATTTCATATATATATATATATTTGTATGTATATGTTCTATCATGCTTTTATAGTTGGTCAGGAAAAGTGAAAAATATACTATGGCTTTTCCAGGGTGACTGTCACTTTTATTCCTATCTGAATATCATTTTAGAATGCTTTCCAAAAATTTCTCTGGCCCTGCGGTATTCTCTCCATACATTCTTTCTATTATGTCCCTTTTCTTACTGTATTTTACCAAAAAGCAACAACAAGGTGTTTTTAAGGAGGTTCAGTAATTGCCCCACTGCTCTTTAAACGTACAGAAAACCACCCTTAATGGATTAGGATTTGATCCAAGTCATGGGACTGGCTTTTGTGTCTCTGTATTTGTACAATAGACATATTGCTTTGGTTGTGCGGGGGGTCCTTTGCAGGCCATGAAAAAAGCTCATGACTGGGTGGAAGAAGATCAAACTGTGGTATCAGTAGATGTGGCTGAAGAGTCAGAAGACAAAGCTGAGAAGGAAGAAAAGGAAGAAAAACCTGAAAATCCTGAAGAAGACAAGAAGAGAGAAAAGACAAATAAGACAGTCGAGGTAAACATGTTACAGATCATCCACCTAAAGAGCAGTAATACGTAAATTTTATTAGCAGCTTAATTTTAAGTGAGGCAAAGCCATTTCATTTTCATTTTTACCCTATTCCACAGTAATATGAGTATTAATGTAATAAACACTAAAATCCCTCTATGCCAAGGCATTTCATGACTTAGCACAGATATTGTAGCCTTCCTCCATAGCTTTACAATTATAATTTAAAGGCAAAAAGATCTTTAAGAACATAGGTGATTTATCTTTAGGGTAAAATTCCATCTTATATGCAAATATGTAACCATAAAATGTCTTTATGCCCTTTAACTAATGAGGTAATTGAAGCTTTTTTGAAAAAATTTCATTACCATAGTTTTTATTCTGTAGTTTAATAAATCTATATGTGCATAATTTAGAATCTGCCCATGTTAAAAAAATTCGTTTGCAGTAACTTCATTTTACATTGAATTTTAGATAAATTTACAATTTAGATCACTCTAAAGAAGAATATCTACTGAGGTCTGTTCATTCAGCCATCCTTCTACACACTTTCTTGAGTATCTGCCTGCTATGTGCCCAGCGTCATGCTGAGAACTGGGGCGCGTACATGTGTGTGCTCATTCGCTCAGTTGGGTCTGACTCTTTGTGACTCCATGAGCCCAGCCTGCCAGGCTCCTCTGTCCATGGGATTCTCCAGGCAAGAATACTGGAATGGGTTGCCATTTCCTTCTCCAGGAGATCTTCCCTACCCGGGGATCGAACCCGTGTCTTTTGCATCTCCTGCATTGGCAGGCGGATTCTTTACCAGCTGGGCCACCGGGGAAGCCCGAGAACTGGGGACCCAGCTATAAAGAAGGATTGTCATGTCCCTGAGAGCTGGTGACACGTCTATTTTATGGTAGCATTTCCATTTAGAATAGTCTTAGGTACACCCATTAAACTTTGGGTAATTTTTTTTCAGGTCATATTTTTTTGGTTTTCTTCCCAAGAATTATTCAATTTTTTTAATGTCACAACATTTTTTAGAAATTATCTGCTCAGTGAATAATTTTCTGACTTATACTTTTTGCTTTCAGGAAGTATACATGCTGTCCATTGAAAGCCTGGCAGAAGTAACAGCTCGCTGTATTGAGCAGCTTCATAAAGTAGCAGAATTAATTCTTCATGGACAAGAAGAAGAAAAATCAGCTCAGGACCAAGCAAAAGTTCTGATAAAGTAAATGTTACTTTTAATTCTTATTTCTCAAATTTTATGTATTTGTGTCATTCAAACGTACACACAGACCCATGTACACCCTTGGCCACTAAAGATTCCGATTTCATGTCAACTAGTTCCATTGTTCTGTGGTCATCTTGAGAAATAAGGACTCTCTTAAGAAATGAACATGCTAGGGAGAATAGTAATAGTTAGCTAGACATTCCAAGAATTATTTTTGGAGAGATTTAAGGGAAGACACCCTAAATCATTCCGAGCAAAGTGTTTGTTTTAGTAGGTCAGGGTCTTGGAAGTACAAACCTTTGAAGATAATTACATTTTCAACATGCCGCACAAATAGAGAAAACACACCTTAATGGACTTCTCAGCTAGTTTCATAGAAATATACAAACCACCCCCACTGTTCCTAGGGACTTATACCAGCTCTGCATATTCTGACTCTGGCAATGATGGTCACTATTGTAAGCCAGTTCACCGTGGATTGCTTGTGTGTGCATATTTGCTGTAATATGTTTGTTCTTCAATAAGCTACTATTATTAGTTTATCTAGTGAAATAAAATGTGTATATATGTAATGTTATATACATGAAAATAGCTGGTATCAATTAAAATAGTTGATTATGGAAGTGAAGAATAAGCTATTAACTTTTAGGCACATGACTATATGCGGTGGTACAGAGAACTAGCAGAGATCCAAATGCCCTCTCATTATTATAAATATATAGACACAGGAGCCAAAATACGAGCCTCCTAAAATACATGGGTGCACGCGCACATGCACACACGTCTGAACACTTTCACCCAACTAGTCTTCTCTTATTACTACATTCAGCAATGTAGGTTGGGGAGCAATTTTTTAGTGGAAAGACCTTCCCAAAGCTCATTCTTAGTGACTTTGCTGGCGTTTTTTCCTCACATGTCCAGATTTGGCATCTAGTTTAGATGTTCATATCTAAACATGTGGAAATAAAAGATATTATAAGCCCTGCACAATCCTGCTCTTAAAATGTGTACAAAGAATATGTACTTGTCTCAGTGGAGAGGGAAAAGGAAACAGTAAAATAGGAAAAGTTTAAAGTATTGAGGACAAATCTGAGTACTACTTATGGTGCTGATTTGAAAGAGGAGGGCTGAAGTCAGAGGTTTCTGAGTATGGAAAATAGAGCCGTACCCTTAGCTCCTTTCCTATTCCCAGCCCCTGACTGTCCCAACCTTACCAAGCTGCTCCAAGAAAAAGGTAATAAGGCCTCATATATGTCTGTATAATAAGTGCCTTACAACCCACATGCCCAAGAACATAGGCAGAACTACTCTTTGCCATCTCCAGCCTTACTCCTGACCCTTTTTGCAGAGAAGTCTTGGATGGGTGGATGGGTAGAAGTGGGGATAGATGGATATAAGGCAGCATGCCTGAATACATAGTCTAGACACAACCCCTATTTATCAGAATGAAACTTACTTCCGCTGACATCACTCAATCTTTTAATATGTAAGATTCTTAACTTGGAGTTATTGTTTTGCTAACAGCATTTTAATCACTGTTCATGTAAGTATATATACTTGTTAAAAAATTGGGCAGTATGCACATTGTTAGGTAATTAGGTTTTCAGCTTTTGTCATCAACTTCTATATTATGACAAATATTGCTTTGTTAAATATTTGTACCTACCTTGTGTTATTTTCTTGGGGTGAAGTCCTGCACATAGAAAGGCTGTAATAAACATAGAGTCTTGATGTAAGTCTTAAAAAACATTCTACAGTATCTTTGATTTGAGGCATCTCATAAAAACATAATCAAGATATAAAGAGACATCTGAGTTTGAATTCCAGCTCTATCATATTCTTGTCCTAAGCAAGTTACTTAACCTTCTTAAATGTCAATTTCTTCATTTATAAAATGGGAATAATCACAGACCCTAATGAAGCCATTATAAGGATTAAATGTGATTATGCATACAAACGTACTTAACATGGTACCTCAGTGACTGTTCATTATTATTTTCAAATGACCAAATGCTGGTCCCTTGGCAATAGTCTTAAACCCCTTTATGTGTGGAACTCAAGCCTGGTAATTTCCTGCATATGTTTTTGCCTCTAAAAAGAGGTAGGGTGAGAATTAGATTAAACTGTGATTGTGAGTCATGAAAGAATACTAAGGGAAATTTCTACAGAGCATCTTCAAACTTGTGTGCCCTTCTTTTAAAGGGAATGCTGTACTAGTATCAACAATTGTATTAACAATCCAATTATTTTCCTTTCCTAAAAATCCCCAAATCTCTTTTTTCTTCTTCTTTCAGATTAACTACTGCAATGTGCAAAGAAGTGGCCTCCTTATCAGAGAAGTTTACATCTTCTTTAACCACTGCTGGGGTAAGACTGTAATATGGCTCTTTTTTTCACCTTTTTCAAGGGAAGGTCTGTTAGGGGCTGTGAGATGAAGTAGAGGATGGAATGCCTTCTTTGCTCCTCAAGCTGGAGTGTAGCCAAGACATTTACTAAAATGATGCTTGAGCATCTTCTTTGGCAACAGGTGGCTCGAGGCTCTCATCCGATTGAGTTCTAGATGCGACCGTATCAGTTATAGAAGATATTGGGTGGATTTTCAAACCTCTCTGGGTCTCATTTCCTTTATTTGTTAAAGAAAAAATATCAAATGAAGATTCCTTCTGTTACTTAATATCTGTGATATATAATACGAAAATCTCTATTAAAATAATTCAGTCTTAATATTGACATTCACTTGTCCTCAAAGCCTATTTTATAAACCACACAAGCTTTATTGTTACACTTCAACTTTAGCCAAAAGAAAAAAAATATGATCAACCAATCTGTAGAAGTGTTTCTGCTCTCCAGGTAACAAATTTGAGAGGTTTGGCATTCCTTGGAGATGTGGTTTCTGGTTATTTTCTTGAAAAATCAGTCATGTTATATAACTCAACCTAGTGGGACTGGAGGAGACAGTAGAAGTTATTCCTTTTCAAGCTTTCCACTTTTCCTCTAAGGCTCTGGATGCAGGGGCAGATGGTTCTTTACATGAGACACAAGTTTTGCTTCCTGGCTTAGCTGGGCTGTTTGGGTAATAAATGTATTAGTGTCCTAGGGCTGTCTTGATAAGTACCACACACTGGATGACCAGCACAGCCTCAACCAATGAAATCTGTAAAGCCCTATCTCCAAGTAAGGTCACATTCCGATATACTGGAGGTAAGGGCTTCAGCATATCTCTTTGGGGGCCACAATTCAACCCATGACAGGCAGTAAAGGAACTTTATTAAAGGTGGTGGAGATGTTTGAGCAGCTGTGGGACTCCTCACCAGAGTTCATGTACCTTCTCTCTGAAGTGCTGCTATTAAAGTTAATGTGACTCAACTATAGCAGTTCCCGATTCTCTCCCTTCGAATTCCAGGATCCTGGGTGAGAAGGTTTGAGAGGCTCAGTAGCATGCCTCAGATATCCATCTGGTGTCACCAGTAGTGACTGAGGACAGGGTCGTTGCATGCAGACCTACCCGGCTGCTGCCACGCACCTCCCCGCGCCCCAGGAGAAGGGCAGTCCTCAAAAAAAAGCAGAAATGATTGTGGACTGACTGTCAGGAGATGTACGCCTCCCACACTTCTGTAAGTTGCTTAGTTAATAAAGGATGAGCTACATACCAGTGATTCATTCTGCTGTCAGAGAATATGGTCTGCATCTCCTGTTTTGCAAAACACCAGCTTTTAGTATTTGTCTAATTTTAGGCCATCAGCAGCGGAGCTTCACTGTAAGCAGGCAGAGTGGAGGGTGCTGCAGGTAGAAGCTTATTCATAGGATAGGCTTGATAAAGTGCATTTATGTGCTCAGCATTGCCTAGGTTAACTGATGCTTGTGGACCTTGGTGTAACTGCTAGATTTACAGAGAGGTGTGAAGTCTTAATCAGAATGGAATGACCTTGGTGACCTGGCTTCCCAAGGCTCTACCATATCCTCTTCTCACTCTTTCCACTTTTTTCTGGTTTACTGCCTGAGACGCTGAGTCCCGGAGGGGTGAACTGATTCACCCAGGCTTCTCAGTCAGTCTCTCAACTCCCAGTTGGCTGGCCATCAGACACAGGAGGCAGACAGCTAACTGGCTTTTATGGTTTCCTAGTGATGAGGATATATATGTCTTTGTGTATATGTGCTATATGATTTTTATGATTCATGTTAAACATGAATTTATTTTTTAAATTTATTTATTTTTAATTGGAGGATAATTGCTTTACAGTATTGCATTGGTTTCTACCAAACATCAACATGGAACAGCCATGGGTTTACCCATGTTAAACATTAATTTATTTACATTGATGGGTAATATTCATGGTATTGCTTCCCATTCTCTTTAATGTAGTATATTCTAACACAATGCTTCTCAAACCTTAATATGCAAGCAAATAACCTAGAGATTTTATTAAATGCAGATTTTGATTTAGTGGGTCTTGGATGAGCACTGAGATTCTGCATTTCTAACAAGCTTCCAGGTGGTAGCAGTGCTCCTGATTCATATCCTACTTTTTGAGTAGCAAAGTTCTAGCAGATAAGTATGCACTTGAATGAATATACACACAAAAATAAATGAATATACACATATACACATACAATACACACACACATGTGTCCAAATGTTTTTATATACAAAATCAGGAACACACAAATTATCATTTTGAAGAAGGAAAAAACCAGATCTAAAGATAGTTTATGAAATGCCATCTCACCACAACAGTACCTCTCGTCTTATGCTGTAATAAATCATTCGCATCAAGTCATTGTTTCTGTCCTCTAAAAGAGCCATTATTCATAACTTGAAGTTAATGAGTGTATATTGCTCTCCAGACTCTATTTAAATTGCTTGCACATCTCATTGATTCTGAAAGCCAGTGTCATTTTATTGCCCTCATTTTGATTATATTTTAGAGGTTTATTGATAATCAAATAAACATGAAAGCAAACCATAATGGATTTTCTGGTTACTTACTAAAATGACTGTGTTTTTAAAGAGTTTTTTCCCAAGACTCCATTATGCTTTCCCCAGTAAGACATTACTTAGCCCTCAGTAGAGTAACGTCAATGAAGTGGGCTGCTCTGGGAAGATAGACTTCATTTATATCCTTTTGTTTACCATAACATTTTTCGAGTACCGTGAGAGAAAACAGCCTATTAAGATTGCCGTCTCTCTTTCTAGTCCCTTTAATTATTTATTGTCTAAGAGTAGATTGAACATTTTAGATAGATAAGACTGTTGATTAATGGACCCATAGCAGACATAATAATAATGGCTACATGGACACTAACTCACTTTTTGAACACCTGCTTAACCCCGGACTCTGTATTCTGCACTTTACGTATATTCATGTTTTGCAAACTGGAAAACGCCAACCTGTTTGCAGGTTGTATTCAAGAGTATTTTAACTTTGCTGCCAACCTAGAAGACATACCCTATAACCAAGTACCTGTGCTTGCATTTAAAAGAAAAACAGACAGACCAGGGCTGGGACAAGGGAGGCAAGTAAAGGTACTTAACCTGTCTACCAAATTTAAGGGGACCATCTCTCAAAAAGAGACAAAGAGACAACCTCAGTCATCTAGATAGATGCACTATTTAAAAAATCAAAATGAACACCAGAAGTCATGATGAACAAAATATCAAAATTTTAAGTAAAGATTGAAGCTGACTCTGTCCAACCCAGTCTCACTCACCTCCCGCTAATCCCAGACCTGATACAAGCTTTGAATGGTTTAAAAGGTCTGAGTTTAAATTTCTAGCTACATGACCTTAAATAACTTGCTCAACCTTCCTGATTCATATTTTTTCATCTGTGAATCAGGGTTACCATGGTCCCTGCCTACCCCCTAAGATTTCTGTGAAAATTAAATGAGATCGTGTAGGGCAGTCACCACGTATGAAGTCTTATGTATAGTAAGCATCCCACTTCTCCCCTTCTTCTCTAAGAGATCCCTCATAAAGCCAGCTTTCTGTGACAAGCCCTGGAGTATGAGCACCTAATCTGTCAATTTCATACTTTTGATTCCACAGAGCAACCAGAAGGCCGAGGTCCTTAACCCCATGATCAATAGTGTATTGTTAGAGGTAAGTGGCCCCCCAGAGAGAAAGTGCTTCTGAATTAAACCAAATGTTGGAGCTACATGTTTTGTCTTTCTCCCAGGCAGTATTACTGCAATTCTAAATTTTATCGTCTACAGTCTTTTTTTGAGTACATTTGTATAGTTCAACCAGCTGTAAACCCTTGGGTGAAACAACAATGCCTAATTTTCAAGAATTCCTGGTTATAAAGAGAAATGCTAAGCTTGCACGTTATTTCTGTCACTGTTTCCTCCGGCAGAAGCACATTTCTGCTGCCAAGTTTGACACCAGATTTAACACTGTGATTATTGGCTGCAACGAGGGATTCTTGCTCAATGGTGATTTTTTGTAAAAGTGGGCACTTCCCTCCATTCACAATAACCTTGGGTTTAGTTGGGTCTAAGCTCCAGACTGGCAAAAAATGACAGGTAGATATTTAGCATCTGCCCATTCACTAACCAGAGGCAAATCCTCTGTGACCACTCACTCCGTGGCCTGCCCACCCACCAGGACGTTATAACATGGACTTGCAGCTGCCCCACTCAGCTGTGCTTGGCCAGAAGCCGCGATGTAAAAGAAAAGAAAAGGGACCCAGGACGCCTCATTCTTGACCCGTAGGCACTGTGTTCTATCTGTGGCTAGTGGGGGAAATTCTTCTGCTACAGATCAGCCGTAAGAAACCGGCACTTCTGTCGCCCCACAGCACCCAACTGAACGAAGCCTCGCGGTATTGGCAAGTTTGAATATAAGCAGTGTATATACAGGGGTCTCTTGCTCTCTGAAGTACCCGTCAAATGCAAAATTTGGAAATTGCAAAAGTGAGGGCGGGCTACATATAAATATACAACAATGCACTTAGGAATTGGGTCTTACCTTTAAGGAAAACTACCAAGCTACAGGAGTAACAGTGGTGATGTTAAGTGTTATTGTTTAAGACCCAGCCTCCCAGAGGGATGGAGTTGACATGCAGGGACAAGGAACCTCAGAGGAAGATTCTGGAGCTAAAAGGAAATCCAGGCAGTCAGAGGCAGAACATGAAACCTGAAAACCTTTTCCTTGGCCCACCCAAAAGGCATTAGCAGATGAATTACTGTCGGTCATGAAGAGTACGAAGTCAAATTGTTTATTCATTCCTTTGGTGGAAGTTTTCTCCTGTTTTAATTACCTGAAACTTTAAGTGGTCTCTTGGAGAATACTGTCTGTTAGAGCACCCATGAACATGAATAGCAGTGTCAAATATCCGAACCAAGTGGAGGGTACGAACATGAATGGGAAGAAGCAGCATTCAAGGATTTGCCTTGAATGATTGCACAATATCTCCAGTAACCCATTGTTGTTTATTCATCTATACGTGTTAGCCAGTCAGTCGTGTCTGACTCTTTGCCACCCCATGGGCTGTAGCCCACCAAGCTACTCTGTCCATGGGATTTTCCTGGCAAGAATACTGGAGTGGGTTGCCATTTCCCTCTCCAAGGGATCGTCCCAACCCAGAGATCGAATCCAGGTCTCTTGCTTTGCAGGCAAATCCTTTGCCATCTGAGCCACGAGAGAACCCCTTCTTCATCTGTAGGTTAGGACAAACTACAGCCTCCTTCATGCTGTGCTTTTGTGTTATTTCAGGGCAGTGGGATTGATCTGGAAAAAGGATAAGTAAGAGCGGACATAATGGGTATTGACTGTACACACATAATATGCCCTAAAGTGTGAGTGTTAGTTGCTCAGTCATGTCCAGCACTTTGTATCCCCATGGACTCTGTTCATGGGGTTCTCCAGGCAAGAATACTGGAGTGGGTTTCCATTTCCTTCTCCAGGGATCTTGCTGACACCAGGGATGAAACCCAGGTCTGCTGCATTGTAGGCAGATTCTTTACCATCTGAGCCGTCTGGAAAGCCCTAATATACCCTAAAAGCCTATGGAAATGGCTCCCCTCATTATAAGTGAATTCTTCTCTCTGTTAGTCTAGATAATTCAGAGCTGGTTGCAAGCAATCCAACAAAATGTGTTTATATCTACTTTAAGCAATAGCATTAAAAGAAAAATATTCTAAAATAGTGTGGGGTTTGAGGAGAAGAACATTATCAAATGGGAAGAATCGTCAAGCTGGAACTCTGGCAGTAAGCCTTCAGTGACAACTTTCTCCATTCACAGGGCTGCAATAGCACCACATACATACAGGATGCCTTCCAGCTGCTGCTGCCTGTCCTGCAGGTTTCACACATCCAGACCAGTTGTTCCAAAACACAGCCATGACCTGGCCAGACTTCATCTTGTTAAAGGAAACAGTGGGCCCTATTGCTCCGATGTGCATTTCCTGGGAAGTTTTCCATTCATCCAGCCACAGACGCCCGTTTGGAGACACTACAAGCAATTTTGCACAGATAGTATTGAAAATGCAAGTTTAAAGAGAGTATCATTTCTCTTAATGTATATGGTTGTTTTTACAAATAATTATGTTTCTTTTATGTTAATTTAAATTTCCACAGCTTTGTATAGATAATTTCCTTTAATCTGGAGTTCACTGACAAGTATTCATTTTCATTTTCCTGGTTAAGCATGTTATCTTTGGCAAGTCATGAGTGGACCCTAGACTTTAAATTTCCACTTTGAATTTTCCCATTCTTATAGTATGACTTTAAATCAGTTCTTATAGTGGACTTAGTTTTATTATATAAGTGCCATGGGCAGAGATAACACTACTTATAGATTTTTACCTATTATAGTGAAAGGGGAATATAGGTGTCTCTTTATAGTCATTCATTCTTCAAACAAGCATATATTGAGCTCCTACTGTGTGTGTGTGCTCACAGTAGAAGAAGAACATGATCTCACCCCGGTAGAAACAGATATTCTGAAAGAGGACTTACAATCATTCTGAAACTGCTTTAAAATACTAATAACTTTTCTAAACCTTAAAAAATTTGACGAACAAGGTAAATAAGTATTTTTTAAAATGTTCTGCCCCTCAGCAGATTGGATTTTTTCACATTCCTTGAATTTTTTAATCCAAAACTTTACATATGGGTTGAAAATACATATGATAAGGGATAATAAAGAATATTTTGTTTAACACTGACTTCTTATGACCATAAGTACATAATGGCGTAATCACAGAGCTTGCAAGTATTTAGATAGAATATTAGAGGGATTACAACACAGTAGACCCCCAGGACTGCACTTTAAAATCGACTACAGTTGAGTCAAGCTATTCCATGAATACACAGATCACACTCCCTGGTGGCAAATGCCATCATTGCTTCTAAAGACAGAACATGTTGATGTGTGGATAACTAAATGGTATTACAATCCAAGAGGCTGCAGCGAAGACCCTACAGCCGGGAGAGGCATTGTCAATGGGCAAGTCTCCCCTCCAGGCCCAGAGTTCACTTGGGCAGGGGTTTCATACAACATTCTTGTCTGGGAGCCCCAGTGACATCCCTCCCTACCTGGGAGGGACATCATCACAAGGTGTCTTACCCAGTGGCTCTCTTCTGGTGAGACAAAGCCTGTATGTTAGCCTTGTTCACGTTTGCTTTTATTCACCTGGTAGGATAGCCCAACTTTTGTTCCATATAGGTAAAGTAGGGATCTTTTCGTATCATCCTACTTCTTCGGTTCAGTTCAGTTCAGTCGCTCAGTCGTGTCCGACTCTTTGTGACCCCATGAACCGCAGCACGCCAGGCCTCCCTGTCCATCACCAACTCGCGGAGTTTACTCAAACTCATGCCCATCGAGTTGGTGATGCCATCCAACCATCTCATCCTCTGTCATCCCCTTCTCCTCCTGCCCCCAGTCCCTCCCAGCATCAGGGTCTTTTCCAATGAGTCAACTCTTCACATGAGGTGGCCAAAGTACTGGAGCTTCAGCTTCAGCATCAGTCCTTCCAATGAACACCCAGGACTGATCTCCTTTAGGATGGACTGGTTGCATCTCCTTGCAGTCCAAGGGACTCTCTAGAGTCTTCTCCAACACCACAGTTCAAAAGCATCAATTTTTCGTTAGGAATTTATTTTCCAATATCCTGCATTTCATTTGTGTATCTCCTGAAACAGCCAAATGGAAAATATAAGAAGTTATTTATAATCTGGAAAAAAAATTCTCTGTGGAATCAATTAAAGGTGGCTTTTCCTACTTGTTATTTGATTGCCTGAAATGTTTCTGCTGTTAAGTCTAGAGACCAATTAACTGATGAAAATGTTGTATTTGCCTCTTCATAAATTTTAGACTTTTTATGTATAGACCAGAGGACAGGGTTGAGATTTACAATTTCCTTATATCAGTTTTTTAGCATCAGATGGACTTACAGATGTTAACAGGAAGTGGAAAAGAAACGGATAGCTGCAGAGGGGCTGGAAATTAGACTTCAAGCCTCACGCATTGTGTGCATGGCAAAATTTTTAATCATGAAATGAAATATAAATCTACAAAAGAATAAGAGAATTATTTTTTGAGTGGTGACTTCATTTGCATTGCACTTATATATCTTTTAATGATAGGATGTGAGGATTGCCAAGTGAAAACACAGGCTGAGAGATGATTCCTGGGGCCTAGCTCCACGGTCTGAGAATTACATTATTTAAGAGAGAATCATCATTTAAAATATATCCACTCTCCAGGATTGCTCTCTTTCAATACTGTTTTTCACCATCACTTTTAAATAATTTTCTTCTTTGCTTTGCTGTAAAAGCTAGCAAAGCACATGATCCAGATCTGAGCAAATATCAATCAATTACTGAATGAATGATTTAACAGACTTACTCTGGAAATTTTGTATTGCTTCAATAATCCTTTACAGAAATTGGGTTCATTTCAATCTATGCAATTACCCTGAACACGCATGCCAGCTTTTTTTTTTTCCTTACATCAAGTGCAAAAGAAGTTCTAGTCTAAATAATGAATGTAGTCTTGTGCCTATGCTTGTGCCTTATTAAATAAAAACCTTCAAAAGCATATTTCAAATTCAAAGCAAAATGCGTCCAAGAAAATTGCTTTGGGGTATTGATAGATGCAGCTCTAAAGGGCAAAATCCCAACTCTAAAAGAAAGTATTTAATCCTGAAGTTCAGACAGAAGCCTCCCTTTCCTCCTGGTCTCACACTGGCTGGACATCAAGCCCATGGTTAAATGAGCCACGTGGCTGGCTGGGCAATGCCAGGGATGAGCCACTTCAGTGGCACCCACCAAGGGGTGGACTATGGACCTCAGCTGCAGAACTCCAAGGGGAAGCACCTTGGACAGGTGAAGAAAAGTGCAGATTACGTGAGAGAAGTCTGAACCCAGAAATAAGTGTCTCCTGTGCTTTGTATTAATAGAAGTCAGCTGCCCCAAGGTGATCCCATATCTGGAAAGTTAAATTCTGCACCGGCCGCCAGGCTGTGCTTAAGTTAGAAACAAAAGCAGGCAAATTCCAGTCACAGCCGTCCCAGAGCTCTAGGATATAACATCTTAGGAAGTAATTCAGCAAAAATGTGAAATAAGCATATTTCCCTTCTTTCCTAAAAAAATGTATACATTTGTAATGTGCATGTATGCTGAACAGATGGGGTGGATCATACACATGACTTCAATTCATATTTAATTTTATAAAAGCTGTTATTCTTCAGGGTCGAGCTAGTTTTTTGTAATGTCAAAATTGCCTTTTGATCTTCCTCTTAAGCATGCCCTACATTCTGATATTCAGATCCACGCTTCAACTTGGTTTCTTAAACTGTTGGTTTGTAAAGTCACATCAGAAGAAATCATAATGAAAATTCATTTCAGAACTGCAGTTTTGCCTTGATTTTGTAGTTGATTAAGATTCAAAAAGCCATCAAAGTGGATTCAGACCAGCCATTCTTCACACTGAAAAAAAATCATGTGGTTAACCATTTGTTGTATTTTTATAGCTATCTCATAACTTATTCAGGTTTATGTTCATTTTCTGTATATTTAAAAACTCCCTTGGTGGCTCAGACAGTAAAGCATCTGCCTACAATGCGGGAGACCTGGGTTCCATCCCTGGGTTGGGAAGATCCCCTGGAGAAGGAAATGGTAACCCACTCCAGTACTCTTGCCTGGAAAATCGCATGGATGGAGGAGCCTGGTAGGCTGTAGTCCATGGGGTCACAAAGAGTCGGACACGACTGAGCGACTTCACTTCTGTATATTTGCCTATAGTAGATGCTCCACTGCAATGTCTGCTGTTAAACAAATCTGAATTCTTTGTGTGTATACGCACTTAGCTCCTGAAAATATCTGAGTTAGTCTACCCTTTGGGCATTTTACTTTTAGCAATGATTAGCTTATTACAACCCAATAGTAAGAAATCGATGGTGTTTCTGATATTTCTGGTGTCTAGAGCCATCATAGACTGGGAATAGAACCTGATTTTATAGAATAAGAATTTTGTGTTGGAGTTGAAGCTGTTACCTTTGTCTGGATCAGAGAATTTTTTCTCTGCATGAGCTGTCAGCCAAAAAGCAATAGGATTATGTCTGCCTGTGGTCACTGCTGACTTACTTGAAGGCCTGTCTCTTCTGTTAGTCTCAAAGAAATTCCATACTGCAAAAGAATAGTATATACATTTCATATATGACTCCCCTGAGAACAAAAGTTTAGGGTGATCCTGAAATGGTCTGTCTCCCTGCCCTGGGTCTCACCACTAGGTTTCTAGAACTGCCATTTGGCGGGAAAAGTCAGCATAGAAGCCAAGAGCAGATGGATGAGACCTTGGCAAAAAAGCAAAACTAATTCTCTGCCTTTGAGTCCCTGCCATCTTTATCCTTTTTCTCTCTCAGGACTTTCTGGACAGTCATTAAATGCCTCTCTTCCAAGATAAGCTTTTCACATCCTGACTCTCTTTTTCATGTCTCCTCTTCTTCCCTTTCTCCTTCACTACATTTATATTCTCCTTCCCCATTTACCTTACCAGAAAACAATCCAGCCAAAAATCTTCGATGATAATCATTAATGTGTATTTACTGTGTGCTGGGCACCACGCTGAGTGTTTTGTATGTATCATCCCACTTACTCTCAATAAGTACCCTAATGGGTAGATACTACGATTTCCACTGCCCAAATGAGAACATTTAGATGCAAGGAATTTCAGAACTTATCTAATCTTACACACGTGGTAAAACAGAGCCAGGATTCAAACCCATGTCATTTTGACCTGACCAGTTAGTATTGTAAACTCTTACGTAGAGCCTCTCAACAAAAGAGAAAACTAACATGTTATTTTTAGAGATAGCTGAATACTTACGTGTTTAGCTCTCTTTATACTGTGAGGTGGATTTGTAGCTGAAAGATTTGGTCGTCAACTGTGGTTGTTTCCATGCAACTGCGAACACACTGGGACCAAAGAGACACAAATGAAGCCATGCGAGGTTATCGGGCCCCTGGGTGCTTCTCACAGCAGGCGTCTGCACCTCTTCACAGATATTTCCACCGAGCAGCTCCCTGGTCAGCATTGGCACCGCAGCCTGTTCCACAGGTGCATTTGATTGTCCTCAAATGGCTCCATTTCCTCCTCCTCCCCCGTCACTGTGCCAAGGAACCCCATTTGTAAATCACCACCGTTCCTGGATATCCTTAACCCTCTACTACCTACTTGGAGCTTGCAGTGGTTTTATGCTTCCCTTGCCTTGAAGATTACCAATTTTAGGCAGCCTCTCTGTTGACTCTTCAGTACCGTGGGCTGTGAGATACTGAGAAGTATTCTAAAGATGCACTCAGTAATGCCTGCTTGTCCTTGAACTTGGTGCTGTTCCCTGTTAAGCCCAAGAAATGGTGGTGGTGGTGATAGAGATGATGATCATGGTGGTGCTGGCAGTGATGATGTTGATGGTGGTGGGTGATAGAGATGACGATGGTGGTGTTGACACATGATGATGATGGTGGTGGGTGATAGAGATGACGATGGTGGTGTTGACACTGATGATGACGGTGGTGGTGGGTGATAGAGATGATGATCGTGGTGTTGACACTGATGATGATGATGGTGGTGGTGATGGTGGTTGTAATGATGATGATGAGTTTGGTGGTGGTGAAAAAGATGATGGTAGTAATTATGGTGATGATAATGATGCTGGTGGTGACAATGTCTTTATTCACTAACTACTTAACTATGTTACAGACGCTTTACCTCCATGGTCTCAATTTAATTCCCAATATCATCCTTATGAGGCAGCGACTATTATCATACTTATTTTCCAGATGAAAAGCAAACCTCAGAGAGATTAAATAATCTGCCTTAGGTTATCCAACTGGTAATCAGAAGAGATAAGATTTATATTGAGGGAGTATATAAAATGCTAGTCAGATTCCCCAGACAAGCAGATACCTGGTCATAAAAAAAGTTGCTCATTTTCACTTGGGTTAAGTTCTTCTCTTCCAGCTAATACCTGGGCTCTTTCTCTAGCCAGTGGCCTCAAGCAGAGACAGATTGCTCCACAAATCTCCCCATCAGAAGGCTAACCACATTTTTCCTGCCAATGCCTCCCAAGAGAAAGTGGGTAGCCTATGTGTCCCATTCTCCTTCATGTTATAAATCTCAAGCTGAGCAATCCATTTATCACTTAAAACTGTGATCACCTCGTAACACTTCTGCAAGAAAGCTCTAGTCTGCTATCTTTGGGGGAAAAAATCTGCTAAGAAATGTGATACAGGACAAGAAATGATGAACTGCAGGACAAAAAGACTGGCCATTTCTGCCAGGAAGAATTATTTGGTCCTAGAGGGCATCTTAGTCAGAGAATATAGGGCATCTTATATATAGAGGATAATTTTCTTCCAGACAGCTTCACACATCCCTCCCTCACTTTGGGCTTTTTAATCAAAAGCCTCCT